CAACCTGCAGCCCCCTCCCCAGACATGCTGCGGGGGGCACCAGCCAAAGCCGGGCCCCCACGTGCGGCCCCCACCGCAGAGCCCGCAGGCAGGGGCCTTCCCCCTCCCGCCCGTGGGGCGCGGGGAGGGCCAAAGCCGCCCCCGCGGGCCAGCCGGGCTGTGGCGCAGCACCGCGGCCCCACGGCAGGGGCCCGGGCATGGCGGCCCCTCCTTGCTCCTCCCCTGTGAGGGGGGCGGATGGCACCCCCAGGGCACCCAGGTCTGGGCGCGCGGAAGGGCGGGGGAAGCCTGGGTCTGGCGTCCCCGCCGGGTGTGGAAGGAGCGTGGCCCTTGTCCAGTCTGAGCCGTCTCCTGGGGCTGCTCAGAAAGTCCCTCCGAGGAACAGCGGCCCCCGCTGGCCCACCTCCCTTCCCGGGGCCCTGGCTCCTGACCAGACGGGCCTTCCGAGCGGTCAGCCAGGCAAAGGAAGATGCCCGGAGCCCCGGGCCGGCCCCCGGCACTGCCCTGGGCCTGGTTGGTCTCTGGCGAGGGTCCCTGGGACAAGTAGGGGAGCTCCCTCCTCCCGGGGCCCTCCCCCGAAGACAGCTGGAAGTCACTGTGCCTGCGCCCCGGGGCCCCAGATGGGTCCGAGGTTCTGCAGGGTCCCCGGGCCTCCGGAGCAGACCTCGCTGGACGGCCGCCGCAGTGCGGGCAGTCCACGTGCCCAGAGCCCGCGCTCCGCACCCGGCGCAGCCCTGCCTGTCCACGCTCAGCCTCCCTCCCCTGCTCCCTCCCATGGCCACGTGCTCCACACACCCACTCAGACCCTGTCCCCACTGCAGAGGGATGGCGGGGTCCCCTGCCCCGTGCTCTGCACCCCCGGGCTCCTAGCCAGGGCCCGGCGCACAGCACACGCCCTGCAGAGGGGCCGGGGAGTCCCGGGGGGAGGCAGCAAGCCTGGGTGAGTGCTGGGACACCCAAGACCCAGCTGGGCACTGGCCTGGGGTGCAGTCCAGGGCTGCCTGGCAGGAGCCACCCCCAGTGTGGGCCCAGAGATGGGACACAAGTGGAACGCAGGGCCCTCTGAATAAAACCCCATGATCAGCCAAGGCTGGTGCCCACGGCCCCTCCCCAGGCTCCCCTAGAGGCCCCCCCCGAGGGCTCCTCAAGTGCAGCCCCAGGCTGTGTGCCTGGCCCCCTCCGGCCCGGGCTCGAGCCCGGATACTGGGGGTGGGCGCCCCGGGCTCTCAGCAGCTGGTGGGGGGACTGAAATGGAAGAAATAAAGGTAAAGGACGGCGAGGGCTCCCTCCAGAGGCAGCAACGGAGGGGAGGGTCCACTTCTGTCTGGGGACCCCGTTCCGGAGGGTCTGGAGGTGGGCGGTCTTCTCACGTGCGTGCACGCGCACTCCCCCCCCCCGCCCCGGGGCCTCACCTCCGCGGGGGCAAAGTACCCCCGTAGAATCTGGGACGCAGGAGCGGCCCCACTTCGGCCGAGGCTCCGCACCTCCGTGCCTGTCCCACACCCTCGCCCACCTCCCTTCTCAGTACCCTGCTCCCGGTGGGACCTGTTTGCTCTGCAGAGAAAAGAGCCTGCATGTTCCCGGGGGTGCCCGGAGGCCGGGCTGACCGCCAGCCCCAAGCTGGGCATCGTCCGGGAGGAGCCTGGGAAGGACGCGTTCTCACGGCCAGAAACCTACATCCCACATCTGTCCCCATCCCTGCAGAGGGGGACAGGCATGGGCCACCCTGGCTCCCTTGCAGGGAGGCGGCAGCAGCCAGGACAAGAGTGGCCACGGGGATGGGCACACACCTGTGCTTCCCAGGCCCACCCCCACCCCACAGGCCTGGCTGGTCCCCAAACCCCGTGCCCCCGGGAGCTCCCAGCAGGTGGTGCTGGAGAAGGGGCCCCGCCAAGAGCCACACGCCATCGCTGCTGGCGCGGTGATGGCGAAGGACCCCGTGGACACCAGGGCAGCTGCAAGAGGGGGCTGACCAGGGTGGAGGGTCCGGCGCCGAGTGAGGCTCTGCCGCCAGCGCCGGGCCCGCAGCCAAGCCAGGGGGCGGTCAGGCTGCCCTGAGATGCGTGGGCCGCGCCACACCGCCCTTCCCCGCCTTCCTACCCCGGGGACCAGAACGACCCCAGGGTCACCCCCCAGCGGGGCACCCCAGGCCCAGCCACCTGATGCTCCACACAGGCGTGTGCCGGGCCCCCGGCACTTGGGAGGGTGCCCGCGCTGTCCTCGCGTGGCCGCTCCGGGCCCCCGCGAGAGCCCCGGCCGGGACCGCGGTCTGTGACGGCCCGGGAGGTGGGCCTGTGACTGAGGGGCACCCACAGGGGCAGACGAGTGCCGCGGGGCGCGCAGAGGCGGCCCTCCAGCCCCCGGGGAGAGGCCCCGAAACCGCCGCGGGCTCCTCACTCGCTGCCCCGGGACCTGCTGTCTGGACGGCGCCGGTGCCTCCTGGCGGCGGCAGGCGGAAGGTGCCACCAGGCGCCGGCGTCGCAGGCCCCACCTCCGCCTCTTCGTGGCTGGAGCGTGAGCCGAGACGCGTTCACTCGGGCAAGGGGAGCAGCTGTCGCCCCCCCGCCCCCCACTGCGGCCCTCACGGGACAGGGTCCTGTGACACGGGGACGGGCGAGCAGGATGAAGAGGACGCGGACCCCGGGAACAGCCGCCGCCCGACGGCCGCGCAGGAGACACACGTGCTCCTGGGGGCGAGCCCTGCGGGTGCGGGAGGGGCGGAGCCGGGAGCCGGGGGAGGGGCAGGCGGCATCCGGTCCCCAGCCCCACAGCAGGACAGCCCTCCCCAAGCCACGGGGGCCCGGTCCCCCGTGTCCCCCTCTGTGTCAGGAAGACCCGTCCTGACACCGCAACCGCATGTCCCCACCCCCTTTCAGGCCACAGCCGCACAGAACCCGCAGGGGCAGGCTGTCTGTTCACGGTCAACGGCACGGGTCCCCGCCACCTGGGTCTCCTTCTTGGGGTGCTGTCAGTGAATAAAGGTGACCTCTGAGAAAAAAAAGAGTCCACGGGTGTTCTTTTAGCTCAGAAAGCATCGCCAGGCGACTTCCACAGAAGGAATGGCCACAGCGAGCCTGCTCGACTGGCCAGGCGTCCTAAGTTGCTTTCGAGAAAATAACCCAGCACGCACCCTCACACGCAACCGCGGCTGCAGGGGAGGGGCTGCGAGGGGCTCCCACAGGGAGGGCCTGGGGAGCGGGCGGGCACAGGAGGGCCCCTGCAGAGGGGGCGCCGGGGGGCCAGGAGGTCACGGCGCTCGCTGCCATCAAAGCAGACTGCTGCTGGCCGCCGGCTCAGAGACAGGCCCGGGGCGGCCCGGACGGAGCCGGGATGCTGGAGGGGGCCACCCAGGGGCCTTGGCCGGAGGCCGCCCCGTCCTGTCCGACCCAGAGCCCCCGGGCCCGCTCCACCCTGCGCTCCCTGCTGCCGCGGGGCCTGCGAGGACACGAGGAGGTTCCCAGAGCGGGGGCGGGGGGGGGGGACGGGGGACGGGGGACTCCAAGGAGCACAGCGGGCAGCGGCACCCGCCGCGGAACTGGGAACCCTCGCGGGGCGGGCCTCGGGAACGCCGGCCGGCCGCTTTGCGGGTGGGCGCAGCGGGCAGCGCCTCGCGTGCGGTGCTGTGGCGCGGGGTCCCTCGGAGCTGCCCCGCCATGGCCTGCTCTCGTCGTCTCTCCTTGCGGCCCTGGTCCGTGCGAGCAGGGGCTCTGAGAGCCGGGGACCGCAGCCAGGCAGCCACCCCCGGGCCCCGGCGCCTTCAGGGCAGGACGCAGCGCCCACCCGGGGCCCGCGCTCCTCGCTAACCGGCCGCAGCCTCCTCCCCCGCCTGCCCAAGCCCCCGCCACTCTGAGGGGGGTGCCCCTGTGACGGGAGCACCCCTAGCGCATTGCGCACGGCCCTCGTTTTTCAAGCCAAGGCGAAGCTGCTGGTCCCCCCGCAGGCCAGCCCCTGGGTGGGGGCGTTGGGGGCACAGCCCCTCCCACCGTCACGATCACGCACCCTCCGTCCCAGCCCCAGGGAGACGCTGCCACTCTGGGTCTTCACATCGTGCCTGTCAGGGGTTGTGCGCATTTTACCCCGAAGGCGATTCTGGGAACTGTCGCCGGAGGGCAGGCCGGCTGCAGGGGCCTGGGGCCTCCGGGGAGACGCAGGAGCACGGCCCACGCCAGGCCACGCCAGCGGCTGTCACACCCCGGCCCCTTCCACGCAGCAGACGGGCAAGGGTGAGGACGGCACGGCCCAGCGTCGGGGCCTCCGCTCCCCGGCGGACACGCGGGCTTTCGTGTCCGGTGTCGCCGGGGCACACCCGCGAGCGCGGGAAGAAGGCGAGGACGGCCGGCTTGCTAACAGGGTGGTTTATTAAGGCTCGTGCTCTCCCGGAGCAGGGCTCTCCCAGGCGCCCCCGGCCCCGCCCGGGCGGGGAGTTCCGAGCGGGACCCCTTCTAAATACAAGTCTAAGAACAGCTTCGACGTGCACTCGGAGGGGCTTCCGCAGCGGCGAGCGTTTGGAAGGGGCGGGCTCCCCCGGCCCCAGGTCCTCGCGGGGTGGGTGTGCGCCGGCCGGGCCGCTGAGCACCGTGCCCACGCTGCGCCAGCCCCTGCCTCGAGGGTGGCGAGGTCGGCGGGCCCTCAGCCCAGAACGCGGGACGGCAAAGCCCGTTCTAAGGGGTTTGTTTGCTTGCTTGTTCACCCAGTGACAGGAAAAAGGAGCTGAGACGCACGGTGAGGCCGGCGGCGTCTGCGCCACACCCAGCGGCAAAGCCCAGCGGCAAAGCCCAGCGCCGGCGCCGCGAGACCCACACTGGCGTGCGCGCTCTCAGGGGACGAAAGGCTGACACGAAGTGCCCGCTGCCAGCGGTGTTCGCACACGGGCCCCTGCGCCCCCGCCGACGCGGCTCGGGGCGCGGCTCTGGGGGCGAGGCGGGGGGTGCCCCAGGAGACACAGCGTCACCCACCATGACACTCTCAACCCATCTTCCCGTCTAGTCACACACCCGGGGGGCAGCTCAGCTCTGGAGACCGGACCGAGGGCGAGTGCGGCCGGCCAGCCCGCCGGGGGTCGGCCGCGCGGTGTCAGCGCTCGGAGGGAAGTGTCTGAAACACACACGACGTGGCAGAGCAACTCGCTTGTCACATTCACTACGAAGCAACAGGGTGGGAAACACTCGCAAAGAGGGACGTTAAGTGACTGTGAACACAGGAATGAGAACGCAACTTCTGCCGGAAAAAATCTTTGGGACGTGTCAGGCCTTTTGTTTTTAAGATACTTATGCTCCGCGCTGGGTCGACCTGGCTGACGGGCCGGGGAGAACGCCCTTTATTAGCGAGGTCTACGGCACTGCCACGCGGGGAAGGTGCACGGGCCAGGCCGCCTGGCGGCGCGCCCAACGGGGCGCGGGGCGCACGGGGCCTGCGCGGGAGGGCGGCGGGGCTGCCGCCGGGACGCAGCACCAAGCACACGGTCCGCCGAACACCAGGTCTTTCGAGAAGCTGGCGGGTCGCCCTCACTGTTTGTTCCGATTCTGCCGTTCCTGTAAAGAGAAGAAATGTATTTAACACGTGAAGTGAGCACGCGTGCAAACCCCCCAAAACTCGGGGCAGGGCTGCTCCCGGCGCTGCGGCCGCAGGTGGGGACCCGCAGGTCGGGAAGGGCGCACCAGGAGCTCTGGGCCCCGGGTCTGCTGACCTCTGCGTGGGCGCCCCTGGTCTAGGCCAGGCTCCTCTGGCAGGAGTGCAGGGGGAGGGTGGTATGTGTGTGCGTGTGTCAGAGAGAGAGAGAGAGAAACAGAGACAGACAGACAGACAGACACAGGGCCGCCTGCCGCTCCTCCGCAGGGCTCCGCACGGCACGGGGACAGAACTCAGCTCAGGACTAAACGTGGCGCGAGGAGGGGCACGTGCTGCGCCGCCTGCTCACCAGGACGAGTCACGACAGAGTCCCCAACAGACGGGCCGCTGGACCCCGAAAGGGCGGCACAGCAGGCGCGGCCCCTCTCTTGCTTAAACTGGACAGTGTGTCCTCAGGCTACCACCGCGCCCCAGCCCTCTCCCCATACCCCACCTGGTCACCCGGGGCAGGTGCTGGTCGGAGGCCCCCGCGCCTCGGCACCGCCCCCGCCCGGCCCACCGCCCTGCGCCTGCACGCTCGGGGGAGGAGTCCCCGCCACCAACAGGCCCTGCCGGCCTCCACTCGGAGGCCCCAGGAGCGGGACCTGACACCGAGGAGCTGCCAGCCCGGAGGCCGCCCTGGCTGGAGGCGCGCCATCCACGCTCTGTGAGATGGACACCTGCCCACAGGACCGGGCGGACCCAGCTCCAAAACGCACGTGCTCCATGAGGCTCAGAGTGTCCCCAGGCGTCCACAGGGGCGGCCCTGAGAGCCAGGCGGCCTCGGTACGAGCCCGTGTCTGACGTGCCCGCTCCTCTCCGCCTGCCCGTCCTCAGACTCCAGGTGCCCGGGAGCCCAGGGTGCCGGGCAGGGAGGTGCGAGGGAGCAGGCCGAGAGCCGCCCCGTCCGTGGCTCCTTGAGCTGAAGTCAGCTGGTCGGCCCCCCGGGCCCCCCCACTGTGAGCGCCAAGGCGACCCCCACGGGCAGGGTGCACCAGGCCAGGGAGGCGCTGCTCTGGGCACCCCGAGGGCGGCGGGGAAGCTGTGTGGGGTGCAGCCGGTGTCCCGTGGGGCCACACAGGCCCGCTGGGCTGGCGGGGCGCGGTCCGGGGCGGGCTGCGGCCTTCCCGTCCTCAGTGCCCGGCCCGCCGACGCCCACGGGTCTCCCTGCGACGCCGCAAGTCCTCGGGCCCTGGAGCCCTCCAGGAGGAACGCGGGCCGGGGCGCCGCAGGGAACGCGCGTCGTCGGTGAGACGAGCTCCGCCCCAGCCGCCGGCGCCTGCCCTGCTGACCCGCGGGCGCTGCCTTGCCGCGCGAATTCGAGCGCTTTATTTGAGGCATTTTACGCTACACCTACGAGAAGAAACCGCAGCGTCTCGGTGACTGGAAACCAACATCACGCCTTCTCTCGTCAGCAGCAGAGGGAGCGAGAGGCTACCGTCCTCCTCAAAGCCGAGTCGTCACCCGAGAGAGCGCTGCTCGCAGCCGCTCGCCACAGGCCCTGAGGAAATGCAGCGGGGCGCGCGGGCACGCGCCTTCTGTTTTTAATACGTGGAGGAGCAAAAAGAGATTGAGGATCTACCCCTCATCAACCGACGCTTCATGAAAGAAAGGACGTTTCAAAAACAAAGACGCAGGCCTGACGGGTGGGGCTCGGAGAGTCGGTGCCGTCCCGCAAACCGAAAGGCCGCCAGCCTGATTCCCCGTGTGAGGCCACAGCCTGAGCTGTGCGTTCAACCCCTGGCGGGGGCGCAGGAACAACCAACCGAACGATGTTTCCTTCTGACATCGATGTTCCTCTCCCTCTTTCTCGCCCCCCCCGCCCCCGCCTCGAATCAAAGAAATAAAGTAAGAACAAAGACACAGGAGAAACCCTGAGAGTAAAATCTGGCGCAAGGCAGCCTCCGGAGCCCGGCCCTCCCATGCCCGGCCCGGCCCGGGGGCACCTGCGCCCATTCTCTGCGGAGCAGGCTCCACCGCAGCAGGCGGCGGCCCCTGGGCTCCGGGCGTCCCCGTGACTGGGAGCGGGGCTCCCTGAGACCCGACTCGGTGCCTGGCTGTGCTGGCACCTCTGTACCCGGCCCCGCCCCCGACTCACCACCCACAGGGAGCGGCGCACCTTTCCCAGAGCTGCAGGACACTGGGTTTTTGAAAAAAATAAGCGAAGGCCCGCAGCCGGCAGGGCCCTCCCTCGGTGGGTGGGGTCTCGCCGCCCAGCAGCCTGGCTGCAGGCTCAGCGCCCCCCGCTGGGCAGAGCCCAGGAAGCGCCGTTCCAGAAAGACCGCAGCTCAGCGAGGAAAAGCGCATCGTCCGCACGCCCCTCACAGCAGAACTGTGCCCGGTGGTCCCCATCGCTGCGTCTTAAAAGCAGCCGGAGGACCAAAGCCACGGCCGCCGCCCCCTCCAGCGCCACCGCCCGGGCTGCACCCGACTCACCTTGCGCACCACCTCCTCCTCCTCCTGGCGCTTCTCGTAGTGGGAGAAGTCGTCGAAGATGGAGGTGGTGTGTTTGTAGGAGGCGATGATCTTCAGCACTTGCTTTGCTTTCTCCAAGGGCACCTCCTGAGTGTCACGGGAGTTTGTGACCGGTTTGTTGTCGTTGTTCTCCAGCCGGATGTGCCGGAGCTGGTTGTTGGGCACGTCCTTGACAAAAATCCACTTCACGTCGAACTTGCCCTTCCACTTGTCCTGAGACCAGACCCCGGCGCTGGTGCCATAGTCCACGGGCGACTTCATCTCGGCCACCCCGCAGAAGTGGCCGCTGCCGTTGACGCTGAAGAGCAGGTAGACGGGCCCCTTGCTGCTGAGGGAGCGGAAGGCGCCGTCCAGGCGCTTGTTGCCGTGCTCGGTGCTGCACCAGATGGAGTACTTGATGGACCGGTGCACGTCGTCCTCCGAGTAGCTCTTGATGATGAACACACGCCCGCTGCGCAGGTTCCAGTCGAACTCCTTCGGGTTGTAGCTGTGGGCGGCCTTCAGTTTCTCCAGGACCGGGTGGGGCTCCGCGCTCGGGCCGCAGCTGGGCGGGGCGCCGCCGGGGGCATGGCTCTCGCCCCCCGAGCCCGGGCTCTGCCCGAACGCCGCGTTCCGGCTGCGCGGGGCGACCCAGCGGGTCTGGGGGGGCGGCTGTGGGCTCTGATACTGCGGCGGGGCCAAAGGCGGGGGCGGGCCAGGCAGAGGCTGCACCACCGGCTGAGGCTGGGGGGCCGGCTGAGGCTGGGGGGCCGGCGCCTTGGGCATGGGCCCCTTGCTGTCCCAGGTGCCGATGTCCATGTTGTGCTTTATGGGCGGAGGGGGCAGCGCAGCCCCGAGGACGGGCCCGCCCTTGACTTTCATTTTCGGCTGCGGCTTGGCCGGCTTGCTGGCGATGGCGGCCCACGAAGTCGGCTTCGAAACCGGCAGGTTTACGTTTGCCCCGCCGCTGCCGGAGAGCATGCCGGCCATGGCCACGCTGCTGACGACCGACCCCACCGTCTTGACCGCAGAGGAGGTGACGTCGCCGATCTTCAGGCCCACCATGCCCTGCTCCAGGCTGTTCATCCCAGGGGCCTTGCTGAGGGAGTCGCCGTGAAAGCCCGTCTGCCCGTCCACCAGCGTGCCGCCCAGGGAGCTCGGCGGGTAGGTGTAGCTGCTCCCATAGGCGGAGCTCTGGGCCTGCTGCCCCTGCGAGCCGCTCGTCCCCCAGGCCGAAAAGGCAGGGTTCTCGGGGAAGAAATTAAACCTGTGCGGGTAGATGCTGTTCCCCAGGCCCCCTGGCTGCCCAAACACAGCATCATGCACAAAGTGGTGGTCGCCGTTGCTGAGCTGTCCGTAGGTGGTGAGGTACGGGATGGGAGGGTCCCCTCCGGTCGACCACGGCGCCTCATTGAGGGAGTACGGGAATCCGATGGACGGCGGGTAATAGCTGGACAGGTAGGGGTCGGCCATGGAGGGGTAGCTGTTGCTCTGCGGGAACAACAGGGGCGGCGTTAGGCTGTTCTCCTGGCCTGAGGAGGCACCGAACACCCCGCCTGCCTCCCGCTCCAGGAGGCTGCACGGCCCCGCCCGCCAGGAATGCCGCGCAGCCACGGGCAGCAGCTCTTCAGAGCGGGCCGCCCTGGGCAGGAAGCAGCCTGGGCCAGCGACCCCCGTGCCGCCTGTGGGTGGGCTGCAGGCCAGGCTGCTCCCCGAGGGGAGCGGGTCCTGAACTCACTGCGGGGGGGAAACGGCCTTGAAGCTACCCCCACCCGCCCCCTCACGTCAACGCAAGGGGCACCGCCCCCTGCAACTCCCAGTACAGACTCCGAGCGCGCGGGGGCTCAGCCAGCACCGCCCTCCAGTGGGAGGTGGCCAGGCGGCGCCAGCCCAGACGCACTTCAGCGAGGCCCCTGTGGCAGCCCACGGCCCCTCCCTGCAGTGGTGGCCATGGACTCCATTCGCCAGGGACATGGCGCGAAAATGCAGGTGAGGACACCCAGTTCTGGCCCTGTCTCAGCATGGGGACACCCGGGCTCTAGGAGGGCGGGTGTTGCAGGCAGAGCCACCACCACGGCTCTGTCACCGGAGGGACTGCGGCTGTGGCCTCAGGGCCGCTCGACGCACACCCGTGGACAGGGCTTGAGGCAGAGCCGCGCCTGACTCAGAAAAGCCGCCCCAGGCGCTGGGCTCTGCGGCCGCCTGGTGACTCAGTCGACATGGCGAACAAACGGGGACACCAAACACATTCCATGTCCTCAGTGACGGTCACCCCCAGATCACCTTCTTGGGAAAACCAAATGGCCAAACACGATAAAGCTCTGTAAACTGTCTAGTCCAGAGCGAAGGGTTTTTAATACTCTACAAAAATGCAACGCCATTAAAAAAATGAAACAACTCTATCCTGAATGACCAGAATCTTTAAAATCAAAACGTCTGCTTCCTATGTCTGTTTCTCCGAGAAGGAAGGCATTTCGCAATTAGTCAAATGCTGTGACTTTCACAGACAAGACAGCGCCTCAGCCCTCAATGACCCAGAGCAGAGAGAAACAAGGGCCTTCAGAAGCCCCAGGGCACCCGAGCATTTTTGGCCTAGGCTAAGAAGTATTTGCCTAAGAAGGCAACAAAAACACTTCAAATGACTAAGGAAAAGCGTCAGGGGCCATTCAGGAGGGGCCGGTGGGGGCCACACCGAGACCCCCGCCTGCCCGTCTGAACACGAGGCCCCAGGATCCCCAAAGCCCTGCCTCCTGGAGATCCATTTCTGCGCAGCAAAGCCCACCTCCTTCTCGTTAAAGTTAACACTTGATGTTTCTATGGCATTTAAATCATCCAAGAAAAAATGGTCAAAGAAAACAAGCCCATTAACTTCTCGCCGCCACCTCTGGTGGAGCCACTGAGGCCAGGCCAGCTCCGCTCTGAAGCTCCTCGTCCTCCCAGGGGCCAGGCAGGGTCTCGGGGGGGCAGAGTGCGGGGCGCGGGGGGGTCTGCTGCCCTGCTATGCAGCAGGTTTGGGGGCTGTGGGGAGAAGACCTGAGACGCTTAGTGAAGGGCAGACTGGCTGTATCCACCACTGGGGAGAGGCAAAGCCAACAAGCACAGTGCGTTTTGAAACTGGTACAAAGTACAGCCCCGCTGGTGTGGCTCAGCGGACTGGGTGCCGGCCTGAGAACCAAAAGGTCGCCGGTTCGAGCCCTACTCAGGGCACAGGCCTGTGCTGCAGGCCAGGTACCCAGTAGGGGGCGCATGAGGCAACCACACATGGGTGTTTCCCTCTCCCTCTCTTCCCATCTCTATAAATAAATAAAATCTTAGCAAAAAAGGTAAACAAGAAGTGATTCAGCGCCAGGTGCCCACAGTGCGCAGGCCGAGGAACCCCGACAAGCCCAGGAAAGCCGGTGGCGCCGGCGCACAGGCCCCACTGGTGAGGTGAGCTCTCCACGCGCTCTGGCGTCACCCATCCCCCGACACGTCCCTGAAACACCCGCCACTGCCTGTCTCACTGGAGAGCAGAGGAGACGGCACGGGAGGCCGGTGTGAGGGAGTGGCCGGGGGCGGTGGAGGCGGGCGTGGAACCCGAGGCAGGAGCTGGGCCCCGACCCTGTGCGACCGAGGCAGGGCAGCGCCACCCCACCAACGCGGGGGACCACGAAGGGCGGCGTCAGCCAGGCCAGCCCCGCCGGGCGGCGCGCCCCCCGAGAAGCCCCGCGTGGCCGCAGTCGCGCCCCGGCCGCTCCGAGCCCCTCGCTGTCAGTGCCCGGCCCGCGCTCCCCGTGCTGGCAGATTACAGGTCCCCGTCCACACAGCCGCGGGCACGTGTCACAGACGAGCTCACCTGACTCGACTGTCCAGAAAGGTAGGGCTCGAAGTCATTGTCATGGACCGTGTCCTTCTGATGCAAAGAACCATTTTGCACTAGAACAAATAACACAATTACGTTTGAGTTTTTAGAAATTACTTTTAAGCATGAAAATTAAGGGTAATAAAATCTATGCCCATCAATCTCTGGCAGAAAGTGCCTCTTTAAAAAAGAACGCAAACAGTACACAGCTGCTACTTATACAACCAGGAACGGCAGTTAGTTAGAACTTCCGGTGTCTAAGGTTGGGTGTTTGATAAAGATTCTGGCAGAGCCGGGCAGGTGTGGACAAACAGAGGCGCAGGCGCACTACCGCAGGGCCCTGGACGAGGTCCCGGGGACGAGGAGGGCTCTGAGAAGGCCCACGGGGCCGAGGGGAGCCAGCACCGGCCGGGTCAGCGCCGCGCAGCCCAGGAGCAGTCGGCCACGGCCGACACTCCTCCGCGCCTTCCTGCCCGGCTCTCGGTGCGCTGTGCACAGTGACCAGGCTCGGCCAGGAAGAGAAAGAAAAGGAAAGGTAAATACAGCGCTGGGCCTTTTCCAACCGAAAACACGACGGACCATATTTGGTTACACCCAGGCACGCGCGCACTGGGTGAAAGCAGTCTCTGAGTCCACACGGAGGGTCACGTACAGCTTCTCACAGGGCGGGTTTCGGGGGTTCACCCCAGGCCAGGATGGCACAAGAGCGCGCGAGCCGCTTCGAAGGCAGCAGCCGCGGAGAGCAGGGTCCTCCTCCCAGCGCCGCCCCTTACTCGCACCTACGGCGCCCGCCTGGAGGTCCTCTGTCACCCTCGAAAAGCCTCTGCTCCGGACCTGTCCGATCTCCGCGACACCTCGGAGCGTTCTGTCTCCCCGAAGCCGGGAAGAGACTGCCGCTTCTCGACGCCGCTCCCCAGCCCCCATCCCCGCCCGTCCAGGGTTCCCACGCCGCCACCTCCGCTCCCTCCCGCGCTCCGGGCCTGCGCAGGCCGCCGGGGCCGCTTACCTTTATTATCTTGTCCTTTGCTTCTCTGCACCGCCGCCGGCCGGCAGGAGCGAGCGGACACGCCCGGAGGAAGGGGAAACGCGAGGTTATTGGCCAGAACCCCTCCCAGGCGGCGGCGCGCTCCCGGGCGAACGGGCCCCGCGGTCCCACGCGACTCCGCCCCGGGCTGCGACCCCGCGACCCCAACCCCCGACCGCGCGACCCCAGGCCCTAGCTCCGCGACCCCGGTCCGGCCCGCTACCTGGGGGTCCACGCTGGTGGCCGACATACTTCATGAACAGCCGGCGCGGCGCGGGGCCGGGGCGCCCGCCGGCTCGGGCCTCCCGCGAGGCCGGGCCTGTCACCCGCGCTCTCGCGGCTCCGGGCCCGCCGCCCCCTCCCCGGGCGCTGGCCGGGCGGCGGCGGCGGCAGCGGCTGATGGGCGCGCGGGCCGCTCGCGGGGCGCGACCGTGCGCGGTGAACAGGAACCGCACACACGGACGAGGCGCCGACTCCAATGGCGGCGGCGGCAGCGGCGGCGTCTGCGGCGGCGGCGGCGGCAGCGGAGACGAGGCTGCGCGACGTCAGCGCGCGGGGCACGTCGGGAACGTCGACGAGCCACCACGCGCCGCGCCTGCGCGCCACCGCCCAGCGGAACGGATCTTGCGCCCGGGTCCCAGCCTCGCGCGGTGTGGGCGTGGCCAGGGGCGGGGCGAGCCCGGAAAGTCACGTGGGCAGCGGCGGGTGCTGCTGTTCTTCTGAGACTCCCCGAGGGTACTCCGGGGCTGATCCCCGAGACGAGTACAGGCGGAGTCCGCGAGTGCGGCCCTCCATGTAAAGCCGCTCACATAGGACGGAGTCCAGTCCACCCTGCAGCCCGCCCCAAACGCCCAGCATCTCTCGCTGGGGCGCCCAGGGTGTGAGCTCTGGCTCCTCGGCCCTAGTCCCGGGCTCCCTGAGGTTGGCTTGTGGCCTGGTCCCCTGGGGCAGCTGTCCCCCAGAAGCCCGCGGCTCCGGTGTCCCCGAGGGCCATGCTTTGCGAGCGCTCCCTTGGGCCTCCAAGGGGCTCCCCAGTTTATATCCAGTTTGCATGTTGGGTTCTTGACCCGGGATTTCCCCGCAGGGGAGAGGCTCCTGTGGCCTCTTCTAGCTCCTGGTGGCCCCAGGCGTCCTCTGTGTTCCTGGGCTCTCTGCGTCCATTGCCACGTGGTCTTTTCCCTGTGTTGCGTTTAGGGCCCACCCCAGCTCAGTATGATCTCGTTATAGTATCTTCATTCTATCTGCGAAGATCCTATTTTCAAGTGAGGTCCCATTCACAGGTACGTGAACTTGGCGGACACTGTTCAGCCCAGTACAAGGATCGCAGGTGATGCCAATGGAAAATGGGGAGAGCATCCAGGGGTCGAGCTGGGTTCCACCCACAACGGGGAAGGAGTGACCCCTGAAAGCGAGGGGACTGAGGAGGCGCAGTCACGCAGGCTGCTGGCTAGGGAAGGGCAGGCGGGATCTGACTGCCACTGCCCCAGCCAGGCCAGCCAGAGCAGGGGTCAGCGTGGGTCCCAGCCACCAGGGAATGGAGGGCTCCAGAGCAGCTTAATGCAGGGACTGGGCATGGGTCCCCCAAAGGGGGTGGGAGACGCTGCTGCACGCTCACCCTCCCCGCTGCACCAGGACCAGGAGGCCCAGCCCTGTAGGCTGGAGCCAAGCAGCTCCTGGCACTGGGGCGGGGGCGGGGGGGCTCAGGCCCTGGAAGACCACAGGAGCCTCTGGGGCGGGGGTGGCCCAGCTCCAGGGTTTGCACTGGGACCTGCTGGCTCTCGCTGGCTCTCCCCACTGCCTGGGACACTCTGCTCCCACCTCTCCACCTTGACTACTGCTCACCCTCTGGCCTCCTGGGGAACTGAGTCCTCGCAGGCACGCAGCTCAGGCATCTCCCCCAAGTGAAAGCTAACCCGTGGCCAGAGGACTTTACCCAGCTCCTGGTGCCCGGTGGCCTGCCTGTCCTCACAGGGCTGCCCCGGTCTCCCCAGGGCAGGGCCCCTGCTGCGGGGCTCACCTCAGGGGCCCACTGCCCGCCCCCCAGCCCAGAGCAGCGCCTGCCGTGCCCCAACTGCACTTGGACCAGGGCACCTTCTGTTTCAGCACAAACTGTGCTCTGTCCCCAAAGACAGTGCCAGGCGGTCTGGGGCCCAGAGGTCTCACGGTGAGGGAGCAGGACAGGGACATGCCTGCCTGGTGGCCCCCGCGGGAGCCGGAACAGGGCTGCATGGCAGCTCCTCCCTGCTCTGGTGGCGCCAACCGTGGCGTTGAGAGCAGCCTGGGCACCTGCTGCGTGACCTCTGTGAGCTGCTCACGAAGGAGAGGGGCCTCGCCTGGCAGCTGGGAGGGCAGCCGGGAGGGCCCGGCGGGGCGGCCGCTGCCGCCTGGTCGGAGGGCCTTGTTCCCCCCTCTCTAGCCCTGTCCTGGAACTTCCATTCCCTACTTAATGTCACAGTTCCGCAAGCAGGGGAACACAGACCCTCCTAGACACCCCTGAGCCCACCACTGGGACTCAGTGGCACCCTTCCGTGCTCACACCCAGGCCCTGGCAGGGGTGACGGGGGACAGCAGTCACGGACAGGGGAGGGGGGCTGCTGAGAATAGGTACGAGACACGATACAGGGAGGCCGTCCCATCAGAAGGCCCCATACAGAACGCCAATGGAAAGGCAGGATTCAGAACGTTGGGGTGAGGACGGCAGAGCTGCAGCCCGAGCTCTCAGCCGTGGACGGGAGCTGTGAAGGCCTCGAGGTGCATGCGTCGGGGCGCCCCCCCGCTGTTCGGCCGCAGCGGAAGCCCAAGCCCGAAGCCGCCTCCTGGGTCCCTAGCGGGCTCCCTGGTGCCCTGTGGTGCCCAGGAGTCCTTGTCTTGCACTGCAGGCAGGCGCGCTCCTGGGTCCCACCCTTTGCCAGGATTTCCTGCAGGAAACCGGGTGGCTCTGGGCCTCTGATAGCAGAGGCTTTGGGGGCTCGCTGGAGCTCTGGCAACATCGGGGCTGAGCGGGCGGTGCAGCCGAGAGGGTGACAGCGATGGCGTCTCGTGCAGGGTGAGGCGGCAGCCCCCACCCCACTGCCACCTGCGGGAGCGAGGCGCAGCTGCCGCTGCGGGCTGGTATACAGGACGGCCGCCCAGCCTTCGGTCTGTGGGGTCATGCCGGCAGGAGGCGAACGAGGGCCACTGGGGCAGGCCCGTGGGGAGTCGGGGCCCCGGGTCCCGGTGAGGAACCCCCTCCTCCAGCTCCACCCTGCCGGCCAGGCCCAGGGAGCCCTGTCCCGTTAGCAATGGCCCTTCGTAGCCTGGTCCCTCTTTCGTTCTTTGTGAACTTGTTTTTGAAAGGCCAGTGCCCTGAGACCAGGCGAGGGCTGGCCGGATCGGGGCACAGCGAGCGAGAGGGGAGACTGGGGTGTTAGGGCCCAAGCAGGCCCACGGGCTGAGGCGGGACGTTCGCCCCAGGGAGGCGCTGTGGGGCAGGGACCCGCACCCTGTCCAGTCTTCCTCCATCCCTGCCCCCGGGAGCCCTTGGATCCCCTGAAGTTCTCCCTTTCCTTCTCCCGTGGTCCCTACCTGTTTGGTTTGGGGGGCACGGGGGTCCCTGGGCTTGGGATGGTTGACGGCAACCATGTGGCTGGGACCAAGTTTGAGGGAAGCCGCTCCAGGGGAGGGGGCCAGCAGCTTTGACTTGGGCCTGGAGCAAGCACCCCCCCGCCAACCCCAGGCCTTCAGGCCAGGAGCCAGGACTCTAGGCTTGAGATGGGCCCCGTGCGGAAGATCCTCGCTGAGGCCTGGGGAGGTAAAGGAGGAGGTGGCCCAGCCCCCTCCTGGAGCCTCGAGACCCTTGGGAAGGGCGGGGCACCAACGGCTCCCCTCGTCTCACCCCCGAGGACTGCACTGCGGGCCCCGCTGAGGCCCCGCTGAGGCCCCCTGTGCGCCTGTGGCCCCACGGTCAGAGCAGGAGGCAGCTGGGAGCTGCTGGCTCACCCCTCCTCTCCAACAGGCGCTCAGCGTGGCCACGCCTGGCTCGCCCGTCCTGCGGACCGTGTCCTGGGCCTGCTGAGGGCCCTGAGCGGGTGTCCTGCGCCGCCTGCCCGAATCCTGACCGGCAGCCCAGGGCGGGAGAGGGCTTGGCATGGCGGGAGGGGAGGGGCGGTTTACTGGTTTTACCGAAGCCTGGATGCTTTTGAAGGGTCACGATAAAGTGGTAGCATTTCCCGGATGCTGCTCAGCAGCCTGCGTTCCTCAACAGCGGCCCGCTGACTGCCACCAGCAGGGCAGCACCCACGCCCCTGGCCCTCTGCCGGCTGGTTCCCCAAGCGCCCCCTCTCCAGCCCCTGCCTGCTCTCCCAGTTTGTATCTTTCCAGCATTTTAAGGACCTACCCGCCCCACTTAGGCCACGTCTCAGACCAAACTTGTAACTATCCACCTGACACTTGCCTCTTAGGTAAAGTGGTTTATTAGCTACTTCGTCCCTTGGGGACACTGTAAGGTCCTTTCCATGATGGTTCCAGGCACCGCCTTGCCCTGAGGGCAGAGGGCCACTGCGCCTGGACTAGCCCAGCCGGGCTGGGGTGGGTGGAGGCCCCGCCCCACCAGCGCCTGGCCAGCTGTGCAGTGTCTAAGCGGGAACGCCCCTCGGTGGGGGCGTGGGGGGCTTGGGCTCCCGTTCACCCTCAGGGCGGGGTCGGCTTTCTGGCGGGAAGTCCCTGTGTGTGGCCCGCAGGGTCCTGCAGCCCCAGGGCACCTGTGGGAGGGGCTCCGCAGACGGCAGTCCCAGGCCTGGAGGCGGTGTTCTTTCTTTTTCTTAGAAAAAGGAAATTCCAAACTTTTGACGCAGCAGCTGCCCTGGGGCAGGGAGCCCTGCGCCCTCTGAGGCGGGTCAGCAGCTGGAGGCCGGGGCAGGGCGGGCCCTTCGCCACTTCACTTCGTCACAGGCCTGTGGGGACAAGGGTGGAGGGTCAGAGAACCCCTGAGGAGGGGCTCCTGGCCTGGAAGGGAGGCGCAGGGGTCAGAGGTCACCCGTCATCTGGGCTGCTGTGCCCTCGCCCCCCCGGAGAGCTGGAAAAGCCAACTGCAACGGAGGAAATCCAGGAAAGGGACAGCTTCCTGGGGTGGAGGCGGGGCTGGGGCCGGCAGGCCTCCCACCTGGCAGGGCAGGCGCTTCAGCCGACACGTCCGTCCGTGGGGGTGGGGGGAGGGGCTCAGTAAGGGCCCTCTCCGCAGCCGCGCAGACTCCCCCAGGCTGGCTCGTTCCAGGGCCCACCCCCATCGCTGCCTGGCGCCGCCACGGTGGCTCAGGGGCCTGGGGGAGGCCTGTCCCTGCCACTGGAGTGGGGTGCCTGCGACCTCTGAGGGCCTCGGGCCGGGGGCACCCCTCGCCTACAGGGAGGAAAGCATGGGGGGCTGCCAGGAGGGCCAGGGTCCACAGGGGGTGGCTCTGAAGGGCAGGCTTGTCTCTGAGGTTGTGGGGGGACAAAGGACGTGCAGCCTGACCGGGCACAGGACCGCCCGCCGCCAATCCTGGCCCCCAATTTCAGGAGGACAAGGGGGGCAGGGCTGGCGGTGAAGGCCGCCTCCGAAAAGAGGAGGCAGAGGCCAGGACACCCCAGGGACAGAAAAGCAGAAAACCAACACCCCAGACTTCCTGCCACGGCAAGACATCGCCCCGCCGGCTGGTGGCCTCCGGCACAGGACCGGCTCAGCCCCAGCCTCCCACGGACTCTGCTGGGCGGGGAGCTCCGGAGGCGGGCCAAGCCCCGACCCTGCACCCCGCCCTCCCCAGCCTGGAGAGGCACAGAGCTGGCCTCGGAACGGCGGGGGGGCGGATGGACAGTGGGCAGAGGAACAGAGAGGTGGCGGCCTGGCTGTGCGGGCCTGGCTGGCCGGACCCAGCTGGGGCAGGCGCGCCAGCCATACTGAAAAGCACACCTGCTTGAACAGGAGGCTGGAGGGCTTTTCAGGGACATGGTAGAGAGGAAATGGGTCAAATCCACCAAAGAAATCAATGGAAAGAAATCAAGACCCAAATAAAGCAAAACCCAGAGGACGGAAAAGATGGCAGAACGGAGGATGAGCATGGCCACAGACGCAGCGCAGGGACAGGGAGGCAGGGCTGGGGGTGGGGGCCGTGGGGGCGGGGCCAGGACTGGGCGGGAGGGGGCGGGGGGCGGTGGGAGGTGCGACAGATGTCTCCGTGGGCACGGACTGGCAGCTCGGGACCGCGGCCTGGGGACACCGGGCCCTCGGAGCCTGGGAGCGGGGGCTGCAGGCTCTCCTGGCCACGTCCAGTCCTGCTCACAAGCACCACCCACCCACCCCCGCCGGCCGCTGTCCGCACAGCCAGCGGGTGTCAGGGGCTTTCTGGGCAACACTAACCCAGTTCTGAGCCCCAGTTCTGAGCCCCAGCCTGGCTCCTGAGCCGGCACGTTTAACTGTGACCAGCGCGGGAAGCCTTTCATTCCTCCCACCAGCTGCGGCCTGAGGGCCTGTGGGGCGCTCACGCAGCAAGAGGGCTGCGGGGAGCTGGCCTGGGCGCCAGCCTGCTCTCAGCGCCGCCGTCGGAGGGATGCGTGGGCCGCCCGCCCCAGCGCCCCCCGACTCCTGGGACAGAGGCTCTGAGTTCCGACCCCAACCCCAGGACAGGGCCTGCCCCGGGAGCCGGGGCCCCCTGGTGTGTCCAGCCCCCGCCCGGCCTGGCTCCGTCCCTCTCTTAACAGCAGGTCCGAGCCAGGACGGTGGGGGCCTGGGAGGGGCTGAGTGTTGACGCTGCAGAGGGACGTGGGAGGAGTCACGGAGGGGGGGGGGACGCTGCTCAGTTGGGTCCAGGCCAGTCCTGAGGGCCTGGAGGGCTCCCGGCAGCAGGGGCCTGTTCTCGGCTGCCAGGAAGCAGAGTGGCCCATCCCCCCCGGGCCTGAGGGCTCAGCCCGCCCCCTGCAGCAGCGGTGGGGGGCGTGGGGGGCCAGCCCTGCAGCACAGGAGCCCCTGAACCTGCAGGTCTCGGGGCGACGGAGCGAGCTGACCCCTGGTGCCCGCAGCCTGGGACTTCCTCCTCACCTGTTCGCAGGTGGCTGGACCATCCCCTCCCTGCCCAGGCAGGGCCCCCCCACCGGGCATGGGGGCCCACCCAGGAGAGGAGGGCAGCAGGACTCAGGCACGCCCCGCTGCGGCCGCCCTCGCTGCCCTCTCCCCCGGCCCCGGCGGCCAGAGCCGGCTGGCCGCTCACTCACAGCTGTCTTCCTCCTCGGTGAGGACGCTGACCACGTAGCAGGCGTAGACGAAGCCCACCAGCTGAAAGACACGGGGTGAGGCCGGGGGGAGGGCGCCGGCGAGACGCAGGCACGTCACCCGGGCTAAGGGCCCCACGGGCGGGCTGGCACGGGGCAGGTGAGGCCGGAGGATGACCGAGCCCCCGCTCCCAGGGGCGCGAGATGCAGAGGAAGCCCCTCGGAGACACGTGCCCACGGCCTGGGCGGGCCCCCGGGCTGAGCCGCCTCCCCGGGAGCCTTGGGCAGCCGGCCACCGGGTCTCCTCCTGGGGGTGGGCGGGCTCCGGGGGGCTACAGAGGGCAGGCTGCGGGCCAGCCAGGCTCCACGGCTTGACGAGGCAGCAGGAGACAGGGCCACGGCCCCGCGTGAGAGGATGCACAGACTCCGGGGGGAGAGGGCAGGCCCCGGTGAAACCCGCCACAGGCCCCCGGGCACCAGGCCACCGGACAGGAAGGGCTGCAGCCGAGACGGGGCAGGGCCGGCGCTGCCCACAGCCCGAGCCCTCCACACACTCGGGCCGGCGATACCCACCACAGGACGAGCTCCTCCCGAGCGCGCGTGTTCGGCCGCCAGGGCTGCCGGACGCGCTGGAAAAGCTGGGCTCTGCCCCGCCCCCGGCTGTGGAGGCCCCGCCCCCGTCGGGGACCGGCCGTGGGCCTTCTGTCCGCTGGCTACTGAAGGACAGACTGCGTGGGCCGGGGGAGGCCCTCGAGGGAAGGAGCCGGGCCGGCAGCTGACCACGGTGCTGAAAACGCCTCCCGCGTCCCTGCCCTTCCCTCCTAGGGCTCAGGACCCGGGGAGAGCACCCCCCCCGACCCCGCCCACCACAGCCCCTGCGGGTCCAACCCCTGGGCGCCCGCCCCAGGCTCTCCACAAAGCCGTCCTGACGCCCGCAGGACCCGCAGCGCCGGACCCCCCAGCAGCGGGCGCTCTGCTTCCTGGCAGGACGGCACCAGCTTCTCCTGGACCCCCCACAGCGAACAGCACCGGGCCGGCCGTGCGGGGAGGCCACGGGGGTGCCCTGGGCTCGGCCCAGGAAGTCGCTTCTCTTTGCGGGGGCAGCAGGTACGCGCAGAGCGCCCAGTGAGGTCTAAAGTTCAGATACGGAGCGACCTGGGGTTTTTTGTTTGTTTGCTTTTTGTGTTTAGTGTGAATATATCCCAAACGTGGAACAGAACACACACTAAAACTTGCTTTTCTGAAATTCAAATTTAACAGAAAGACCTGTATGTTTCTTAAAGATTGTATTTATGTACTTGGGTGGGAGGGAGGGACGGAGGGAGGAAGAAACATCGATCGGCTGCCTCTCGTTCGTGCCCCGACCGGGGACCGAACCCGCAGCCCAGGCCTGGGCCCCGCCTGGCACCGGCGACCTCCCGCTTTGTGGGGCGGCGCCCAACCCTCTGAGCCCCATGGTCAGAGCACAAACTGCATTTTTATTCACGATCTGCAGCCCCACGCAGCACCGTGGGGCGGGCCGGCCGGGCCGGGCCGGGCCGGGCCGGTTCTCCGCATCCCTCTCCAGGCCCCAGCGCAGAGGGGCGAGGGGATGGCCCCGTTGGCCGGCCCGGGAGGAGCTCTTGGGCTGCCTCCCCGGCTGAGGGGACAGACCGCAGTAGCCCCGGCGGCCCCCGCCCACAGCATCATCAGAACCTGTGGGTTCTGTCCCCTGGTTTCCTCCTCATGCTGCCCCGGGGGGCGCAGCGGGTCCTGAGCCCACCTCACAGAGCAGGACGCTGAGTGTCCCGTGGCTCAGGCCGTGTGAGCCGGGTGGCGGGGTGAGTCCTTCGTCCCTCGGGCAGGGGCGGGGGCGAGGAAGGGCGTCCTGCCCTGGCAGAGGACGTGGGGGCCCTCCCTGCAGGAGGGGCCTGGCTCCCCAGCTGGTGAGACCCTCCCCCGCGCCCGCCGCCCCCACGATCTGCAGGGCGCTGTGCAGGGCCTCCCCGTAGCCGTGCTCCAGGGCGCAGCCCCCACCGGGCGCCAGGGCCCGGCCATCAGCGGCCCCTCACACTGACAGCCGGGCCGCGCCCCTGCCACCAGGAGCGGTGTCGGCAGAGGTTGAAGGTCAGGAGCTCGCTGTCCTGGGGCAAGAGGGTGGGCCCAGGTTAGGCCCGGAGCCAGCCTCCCCCCCGCCCGGGGCTCCAGCTGTTGGGGACAGGGCACTGGAGCTGTCCCTGCTGCTCCCCGCCCGGCACCTGCACCCCCACCCCCACCCCCAGTCCTCGCTCTCCCGACTTGTCTCTGAGCGTCACGCAAGGACGGAGGACGTTGCTGCATGCAAAGCGCCCAAAACAGCTGCCCAGGCAGGTCTTGCTCACCGAGGGCGCTCCTAGGGGCTTGGACGCGGCCTGCCCACCCTCCACCCCACCCCCCGCAGGAGGGACCAACGGGCTTCATCAGGGTCTGAAGGCGCGGAGCAGCCCAGCGGATGCAGGAGGGCGGACGGGGCTCAGGCCAGACCTCCGCGGAGTCGCTGCCGGGGGGCCGGGGCAGAAACGCAAGTGGGGCCCGCCCACTGCGGGGCGGGGCGGGGGGACAGGTGACTAACAACACCCGCAGGGCCCTCGCCCTGTGCACAGCTCTCCGGACCTGACTCACCTTGGAGAGGCCCCCCACCTCCAGGTAGAAGCAGGTAATGAAAACATCCCAGGTGACCCAGACGGCTGCCCACGCAGCCAGCGTACTAGGGAGAATGGGGGGGGGGAGGATTAGATGAAGGAACTTGGACCTGAATACGGGGCCGGGGAGACCTAGTTCTTCACAGGGAAGGCCCGCTGTGCTTTTGCTCTTGCAGAGACTCCTCAAGGCCCCTGCGGGGCGGGGCCTCTGCTCCCAAGTCCCCACCGCGGAGCCTTCCCGGGGCGACAGGGTGCCTGCTCCCCGCAGGGGCCGCTGGGAGCAGCCGGCTGCGCATTGTCCCCTCGCGCGCTCTGTGTCCTGGCCCAGAAATGCCCGTGGCCCACCCAAGGGGGCCCAATGACAAGTGAGGGCGTGAACGGCCTGACCTCCAAAGCACACCCAGGGCTCCGCGCTGAAGAGGGCCCCGGACAGCCGCCTACAGGAGCGGGGGCTGGGGCCGGAGCGGGGGCTGGGGCCGGAGCCGGGGCCACGGCTGGCAGGTCCCTCTGTCTGCTGTGCCCAGGGCCCCTCCTGCCCTGGGGCCGCGATGGTGGCACAGGCCTGGCACGCCCGCCGCTGGGCCCTTCACAGGAAAGTCTTGCTGCACACCGGGGCCTGGACCAGCGGCCTTGGCCTGCGCTTGCAAAGGCTGCACAGCGCAGAATGAAACTCCCTGCATATCCTGTGAGCTCGTCCGGGGCAGGAGGGCTGGCGCAGGGGCCAGGCCAGGGGGCCCGGGAGCCTGGTCCCCGCCCTGTGCCTCGGTGTCTGGCCCGGCTTCCAGGCTGCGGGAAGACGGGAGCCCGGGGGCCTGGGGCCACGGTGCGTGGCTAAAGCCCTGGCCTTGCCGGGCATCCTGGTGGTTTCTAGGACAATGGGCCACCGGGGAGCCCCATGCAGGTCATCGGGCCGCCGCCCCTGGTGGGTGGGGACCCGAGCACAGCGGACCCACCGCCACGACACAGCGAGGCCGGTGCTGGACGGCGCCAAGGAGCCCCAGGATGACCGCGACGATGCGGACAAAGGTGGCCGGGGTGGGCGCCCACTGGTAGCCCAGGAAGTCAAACACCTGCCGCTCCAGGGCAGTGACCTCGGGCAGGGCGGGCGCGTGAGGGGCCGGCCCCCCGGAGCGGCCCCCACCGACCGGGGCCGTCGGGACGCCCCACGCGCTGCTCTGCTCGAGCGCCGCTGCTCCTGCTCTTGCAGCGGCGCCCCCAGCCACGAGCCCGCGCCCCCGAGGGTCGCTCCCCTGGGCGTCCCTCGCCTTCGAAGGGTCCCCCTTGAGGGAGCCCCCCCGCACCTAGTGTCCGCACGTGGCGGGTGGGGGCCCCACCCGGGGCTGCCCCGACTCACAGGGCCGGAGGGCAGGAACCAGAGGCTGAGAGCCCACGGCTGCGCCACAGCCACACCCTCAGGAGGGAGGGGGCTCTGCAAGCAGCGCCGCGTCGGGGCAGAGGCCGGCAGGGGGCTTCTCCCCGGGGGCGCAGGCACAGGTGCCGTCCCGGCTGGCACACCCGGCCGCTCCCCACCCCAGCCGCTCCCTGCCACTCCGGCCTGTGTCCTGACCCGCGGGGGACCCTGACTGGCCCCAGACACAGCTGCTGTGGGTGTGTTCTGGGCAGAGTCCAGTGCTCGGGATGGCCCTGGGGTCTGGCGGCCATTGCCAGGAGGCCTCGGGCAGGGGCACAGTCCAGGCCTGTCCTTTGTGGGGCTGGGGTCGGCCCGAGGAGGCAGCTGGGCGCAGGGGGTGGGGGAAGCGGGACCACGCGCATAGCATGAGGAAATTTCCCACGGGATGCGCCCCCAGGCACACGGACCCTCCCCTCCGGGCCCCTTTCCCTTACGTCACAGCGCATCCCACCGCAGGCCTCCCATGGGGGCTCTGGGCAAGTCCCCTGAGGCTGGGTGACTGCGGCGGGAGGGGGCGGCTTGTCCTGTCCGGAGAGGCCGGAGCAAAGCCCAGTCTCTGAAGGTCGCGGTGCCGGCGGCAGGGCCTCCGACCCTCCCGGCTCTTTGAATCTGCTTGGCCTTCGCCTCGCAAGCTCAGGCCCCTGCGCGCGGCGGACTTGAGGCCTGGATGCGACAGGTGTCGTGCGTGTCCCCGCTGATGGCTGTCCAAGTTGGAGGGGTGGCCCCGGGGTCTCTCCTAGAATTGATACCTCGTGGCCTGGCAGGGTGGCCAGCGCAGCCGGGGCTGGGAGGGGCGTCTTTTTGTCTTTTGGTTCCTAAGCCAGGACGCCGGAAGGCTCAGCCCCACTGGCAAGCAGGGAGGACAGGAGGGCGGCCCGCTGCCCGGACCCCTGGCTGGGCCTCGTGGCCCTCCTGTCACCGCCGGGGGCACAGCCTGGGAAATGGCCCCACCGCTCCGCTGGCCAGAGCAGCAAAGTTCACGCTATTCTTCCGAGAGACGGCTCCGGGGAGGCGCGTCCTGCCCCGGCCTTTGTCCCGTAGCTGAGTAACCAGGAAACTCTCACGCTTGTCAGAACGAGAAAAGAAAAGCCTCAGGACTCCCCGCTTGGCTCCCCCGCAGACCCCCGCCCCACACACAGTGACGGGGGCAGGGTGATGTCAGAGCTCAGCCGCCTCCTCCGCCACCCCCACCACCGGCTCAGGACAAAAGGCTTCCACAGCCCGCGCTGCATTCCAGCCTCGCGGGGACACGGCTATCAGCCCCCCTGCCCGCCTGGCTGAGACTTAGAGTCTGCGCCCGGTCCAGAGAGACCCTGCCGCCCTCAAGCCAAGACAACCTCTCCTCCTAGGCTGCACCCAGATTTCCAGGGGCCTGCGGGGAGGCCCCTTAGCCCTCTGTCCACTTTGGAGGTTAAACAGGCGACACGGCCCGACCCGACCTCTCCGAGCATCGGTTTCGCCCGCCCGCCCAGCATCTGCTCATCCGGACCCATGGCACCAAACAAGTCCCAGCGGCCCGACGCAGGGCTGCTTCCTGGGGCCCCTCGGGGGGCTCCGTGCTGTCTTCCACCTGACACCCCATCCTTCCCTCCCCTCTCCTGCTTCCTGCCCCCACCCCAGGGCCCCTCCCACCTGAAGATACCGAGTGGCACCTCTCCCTCCCCGGAGGCTGGCAACAGGCCCCCGGCCCTGCCAGCAGGAAGGTCCTCGGGCTTCAAAGAGGGGGGCTCTCCCACCTTATCAGCTCCACCCCTGCAGGCAGCCCACGGCCCCCCTGCTCCCCTCACCCCACCCCTTCCGGCCTTCCCAGCCCCCAGCGCCCATGGGCAAGCAGCCTCCTCTGGCACCAGCCTGCGCATCTCAGCTCCACACCAGCTCGGCCGCGACCCCTGCCCCAGGCAAAGGGCAGGGCCTCCCAGTCACTCCTCCGAAGCAGCCCCGCTGTGCCCACCGGAGCAAGAGTGTGCCCTGGACAAAGCGGCATTTCTTTCTAAGACCGGGGGCCCCGGACCGGACTGTCTGCAGCTGCTCCCCAGCCCGGTGGCCCAGACCTCTGTTATTTGTTGCCCCCCCCCCCCCCAGGCTCTGGGAATGCGCCTGGCCTGGCACCTGGATCTCCGAGAACAGAATGGAAACTTGGCTGAGGGACGGTCAAGCTCCTCCACAAGGCTGCACCTGGGGGCTCAGCTAACCCCGGACGCAGACAACGCGCAAGTGCTCCAACCTCCTGTCCACGCTGCGTCCGCCTGGCTCCCTCCCGCAGCAGCGGGGCTGCCGCCTCCGCCATGGGAGGCTCCGGGAACCGGCCAGGCGGCTCGCGCTCCCAAACTCACCAGCGCCCCCCACCCAGTGGCCTCGGAACCGGAACTCGGCGCCGCGCTCGGGCTTGGCGCTGGCTTCGGGAAGGGGACACTGGCGTACGCTCCTGCACGCCTCCTCGGAGCCTCACACGCCTCGGACACGCGTGGACCGCGCGGGCTCAGCAGCGCGCCACCCCCTCCCCCGCCGCACACCGGACATGTTGAGTCCCCAACCTGAGGCTTCGAGGAGAGCAGGGTCCAGGCGCCCGGCCCGGAGGCTTCTGTTTTGCGCCGGCCCCTTCCCGCCGCACCCCCGCACCCCGTCCCAGCCGCCCGGGACCCCAAGGCCGACCCAGCGCGCGCGCACCCCGCGGGGCGCCCGGGGCGGGACGAAGGGGCCGCAGGGGTCGCGCTCAGGGCGCTGGCTTCCCACGGTCTCCGACGCCTCCCGGGCAGCGGGGAACTTCGGCTGCAGAAGCCCGCGAGTCCGAGCCGTCCCCAGCCAGGGGCCCACAAGCCGGTGTGGACGCAGCGGCGGGGCTGGGGGAGGTGACCGCGCCCCGATGCGCCCGGGTGCGGTGGCTGCGGCGCCCGAGGAGGGGTCGCCACTCACCAGCAGCAAAGTGCAGAGGAAGATGAACGCGCAGCGGCCGGAACAGCAGTCCATGGTGCCGGCGCAGCCCGCGGGCGCAGCCGCCGCCGTCCGGACGCGGAGCCAGAGCGCGGGGAGCCCTGCGCCTCGGCCGGCGGCTCCCCGGCCCCGGGCCCGGGCCCGTCCCCCGCTCCGCCTGAGTCCCCAAAGTCCCGGCCACACCCCGGCCCCCTGTCCGGGGTCTCGCGCAGCCCCTGGCCACGCCCCACGGGGACCCCCAACCCTGGATCGCAGACTCACCACCGCTGCCGGCTGGGTCCCACCCCGCGGCGCTGCCCCGACCTCCAGCCTGGCCCCGGGGTCCCCTGCCCGGCCCGCCCCACAGCGCGGGTCCCCGGGCCCAGCTCCGCCCCTTCGAATAACAGCTGCGCCTGCCTCTCCTTCCCCGTCCCACACTTTTCGCCTCTGGGGACTTGGCGCCGGCTGGGGGCGGGGCGCGAGACCCCTTCTTAAAGAGGCGGTGGGGCGGCTACTCCAGCGGCCCCACGACAGACCCGAGGCTACTTCAAGCCCGAGCCCCAGGATAGCTAGCGCCTCCCCTCGGCCAGGAGCCCTCCTCCGGGGCGCCTCCCCAGCCCTAGTGTGACCTGCCCCCCCAGTCACCCTCCGTCTAACAGGGCCCCAGGCTCCCCGACCTCAAGGTGTCCTGCCCCATCCTGGGGGCGAGGGCTCAGGACTGGGAGGGGGACGCCTCACCTCCCAGGGGACGTGGGGGACCTGCAGCCCGGGTCGGCCCCGAGTGTGGCTGGCCCGCGGTTCCGGCCTGAGGGCGGGCCCCCTGGGGGCACCTCGGGGTGGGGGCCTGCCGGTGGTGAATGGGGGACTCGGGGAGGGCTCCGCGGGACCCCGGCGTGGAGGTGGGTCCGGGCTCCCTGTGGGGCTGACGGGCAGAGGGAGGCGGGCTGGGCCGGGCCCAGAGGCTTTGCTGGCAGGCGGGGTGGGGCGTCCCCCAGGTCAGGGTGAGCCGCAGTCACGCCTGCCCTCAGGGGGTGCGCCCTGGGCTGAGGTGGCCCCGGTCAAGCCCCAGAGAGGAGGGCACTCGAGCGGAGAGCGGCCTGAGCGGAGGGCCGCGGGGCTGGGGGCAGGAGGGTCCACACCGGGTGAGGGACCGGGCGGTGCTTCCGGTCAGGCGGGGGCGGTCGTCTTGGCTCCGGTAGGTCCTTCCGGTCCCAGCCCAGGATCAGAGCGCTCGGGCTGGCAATCTGAGACCCTGGCCCAGACTCGAGGATTCTCAGCCATGACTCCCTAACAGGTGGCGCCAAGTGCCCTGGAGCACAGTCGCCCGTGCCCGGGCGTGGCCTGGGCGTGTCCACGGTCTTGTCCTGGGCTTGTGGGGTAGAGCGATAGCTGAGAGTTTCAGGAACAGCGGCACTTCCCTGGGACATGCAGCCTCTCGCGTTAGCCAGGCCATGTGCTCCGACATTCCTTCTCTTTCCTTCGGCCCTGGTCCCAGTTCTTCCTGAGCACAGGGCGGAGGCCGCAGCGGGGAGACCGGCGGGGCGGAGTCCCAGCCTCCAGCGGCCGAGGCCCGGAGCAGGCGCCGGGCCCCGTGGACCCGAACCAGCCCCGTGCGCCTCCCTCCAGGTGAGGACAGAGCTGCTTCAGGGAAGGCTGCTGCGGGAAGGTGATCCATCGGAGATGGTCCTCAGGAGCAGCGCACACTGTCCCTGCTCCTGTGCTTGCCCCCCCGCCCCCGCATTAGGGAAAAGAAAACTAAGCCCGTGAGGACGACCCATGTGCTTCTGGTAAAGCGCCCGGCTTGGTGATTCCCGGCCAGCGAGAGGCCGCAGGCATCGCCCTGCGTGCACGAGGGCATTGGCACGAGGTCTGGGGAGCGATTTGATCGAATCCTTTGGAATTGACCCAGTACCCCGCTTCTAGAACCCCTCCCGGGAAACACGTGAGTGTGGAGGCCACGGCACACGGGCGTCCAGCACAGCCGCGGGGAAGCCGGACGGCAGCAGGGCCGGTCAGAGAAACTGCACGGCGACCCCGCACCCAGGGAGCTGCGCCTTGTTGCGGAGACTGGCAGGAAAGCGTGCCCGCCGAGCAGGTGCTGAGTGAGGGGAGAGCGTGGCGCCGCTCGTGTGGGGGCCTGGGAAGCCAGCCTGGGCGGGTCCAGCGCTCCGTGGCCCCAGCGGCTTCTCCGGGCTCCGCCACCCCTACGGGAGCCCGCTGGACGCCCCAACCCTGGCTGACCGGGCTGGGGGGGCGCACAGCCCCGTGGCCAGTTTCTCGGTGGCCTGTGTGTGTTTGGGACAAAACCGCTACGGTTCTGCCTCTTAGACTGGTGCCTGGTTTCCCGCTGGGAGGACACGGAGACCCCTCCCCGTGGCCCAGTGCCCCACGATGTCCTTCTGCTCTGGGGTCGGCTGTGGCCCCCGTTCCTTCACCTGGACAGGGGTCCCCCCAGCGTGCAGGCTGTTGTGCGGTTCGAACGACAGCATCTTTACCGAGCCCGGGGCCTGATTTCCGGCAGGTGCTGAGGAGGGGGGGCCCTGGCTGAAGGGGGAATGGGGGCCTCCTTTCACAGATGGGAAACCAAGTCCCGGACAAAGTAGAGCTTCTCCCAGCCCCCACAGCGACTCCACAGATCTCCTGAGCAGCTGCCTGGCTTGCGGGGGCTTCCCTCCTGCTCACCTCCTGTGCCCCGCCCTCGGGTGCCAGGAGCCCCCAGCTCTGCGCAGCCATCGACTCCAAGGCGTCCATTTTGCCGCCCTCGAACTCCCTTCCTTTGATTCACATTGAGAACTTTGAGAGCTCCAGGGAGGGGACCACAAGGTGACCACATCGCTGTGACTGAAAGTTAATGGCCGCTGGCAGTTCTGAGAGGAACACAGATTATCTCAGTGTTTCAGACGGTCCTGGCGGGCGTGGCTCGGTGGACTGAGCGCCGGCCTGGGAACCAGAGGGTCACCCGTTCGATTCGCAGTCAGGGCACGAGCCTGGGTCGCGAGCCAGGTCCTCAGCGGGGGGCGCGCGAGAGGCAACCGCACACGGACGTTCCTTTCCCTCTCTTCCTCCCTCCTTCTCTCCCTAAAAATAAATAAAATATTTTAAAGAAATGTTTAAGATAGAGTAAAGCATGCGTTCAGGGTGACGCTGCGCGCTCCGCGCCGCTGTCCACGTCATCGCCGGCTGCGCCTTTGCCAGCGAGCGTCTCTTCTCTGTGACGTCACGTCGTCAGCGCACCGGCCTTGGGGTCGCAGGGGAGGCCGAGGCTGTGAGGCAGCCTGTCCTTGGAAGGGCCACCTTTCTGCGCTGGGGACCGGGCCTTGCTCGAGAGGCCGGTGTGTGTGTGGGGGGGAGGGGCCGGTGAACGTGGCCCCGGACCTCCCACAGCCGGGGTAAGGGGGTGGTGACCAGGGAACGGAACCTCGGCCTCCACTGGTCGCTTGGTCCGGTTCGTGTCGAACGCAGGGGCTAGCCGGGCGCTTTCCTGGAACGCCGCCCCCTTTCTGCCCTTCCTCTTCAGCGGCTCCCCCGCCGGCTCTCCTCTTCCAGGAAGCCCACGGTGACTGACCCAGCACCCGCCTGTCACTCTCTGGACCCGTGGAGCCGGCGCAGGCCCAACCACGGGATCTGAAATCTGCAGTTTCTCGTTACCACCTGCGTGCACCCTGCCGGTGCTGATCCACATCCCCTCAGCCGTCACCATCCCTGCGAATACCAGCGGCTGCTTACTGCAGGGACCGGGGGCTCCTCCTGCGGGGGCCCCTACTGTGGGGGGTCGGGGGGTGCTCATGCGCGGCCGGGCACAAGGCAGGCTGGAGATGCCTGGAAGGTACCACACGAGCCCAGCACCGCTCCACCGACGACACAGGGAACGGCAAATTAAACTGCAGGGAGCGACCGCTTTGTACCCACTAGAAAGGCTGACAATACCAAGTATTGACAAAGACGTGGAGCCACTGGACCTCTCGGGCCGTCAGGGGAAATCCACATGGTACAACTATGTGGAAAGACTGTCCATTTCTTTCTTTTTTTCTTAGATTTTATTTTTAGAGCGAGGGAAAGAGAGGGAGAGAAACATCTGTGTGCGGTTGCCTCTCACATGCGCCCCACTGGGGAACCTGGTCCGGAACCCAGGCCTGCGCCCTGACTGGGAATCAAACCGGCGACCCTTTGGTTCGCAGGCCGGCGCTCAGTCCACGGAGCCACACCAGCCGGGGCTGTCCGTTTCTTATAATGTTCAACATACACCCACCGTAGCGCCCAGCAATTTTACTCCTAAGTCATTGAATGAGAAATGTACGCCCCCAAGGAGACTCATGCACGAATTTCTGGGCAGCTTTATTCAGAATCGCCACAACTTCGAACGGCCCCAGGATCCACCTGTGAATGGACAGACAAGGTGGTATATTCCTTTAAGGGGACACTACTGAGCAACAGAGAGGACCGAGGGGCCCTGACTCGTGCTGCAGCACGGAGCGGCCTGGGAAACGTGATGCTCAGTCACGCCCGAAAGGCCACCTGCTGCGTGATTCCACACTGATCGTTCCAAAGCATTCGCAGATCAGTGAATACACGTGGCATGCACAGAAAAGCCCAACTTAAACACGATATACCGAGTATCACTTGCAATTATACCCCCCCCCCCAGGTGGTCACTGTGAACAGTCACCTCGCCACAGTCACGTGGTCGCAGGTTTGGGCTCCTGCTGTAGGCTGGCTCCCACCGTCCCTGTCTGTCTGTCCCGCCCACCCTCCCCACCTGCCCCTGCAGCAATGCGCTCAGCCGAGGAGAGGCAAGATCAGACCAGAGGGCGAGAGGCCAACAGGCCAGGCATTTATTGTGGGGCCCGTCCCGCTCGCCGCCTTGGGCTGGCGGTGTCACCCAACCACAGGTGACAGCGGCCCTGGCCCTAAGGCCTCCCCCTCCAGGCTCCAGGGCGCGGGAGCCTCTTCGCCCCCCTTTCCCCGGAGCCTCAGAATTACAGTGGTTTCCCGGAACCACCGCACCTCCCATAACTGGTTCCCGTAAATAAACGGCCCCCGCATCACCGCCCTCCTCGTTCAGAGCCTGGCGGGCTTCGCGGACGCCCTCCCCTGTCCGCGTTGGGGACGGCGGGCGGTCCGCGAACCGTGGCGGATCCGCCGAGGTCTGCAGGGCCGAGCAGGCGCGGGGGAGAGGCGCGAAGAGGACGGGAGTCTGGTCCCAGGGCCGGTCGCCGCGCCTCCTGCCCCCGTCCGGGTCCCAACCGGCCCCGGCACCCGCGCGGCGCCCGGGACGCGTCCCCATGGCGACGGGCGCTGGGCGCGCTTCCGGTCCACAGGCTGAGGCAGAAGTCCCGCCCCTGCCAGCATCTCCTGGCTTCCCGAGATGCCTTGCGAGGCGCAACGTAGCCGGAAGCTGGTGGCGGCAGGGTCGGCGGCCGGCGAGTCTTCGGTGCGGCTTGCTGCGCGGCTGGACCCGGGCCTGGATCCCGCTGACACCGCCCGATCCCGGTGCCAGGGATCGAGTCCGCCCGGTAAGCGCACGGCCCGAGTGCCCGGCGCGCGCCCGCCGGGCCCAGCTTGGCGGACGCCCCCGCCCGATCCCCATCCCACGGCCCCCCACCTTTGCCTCTCAGCTGCCCCCACGCCCACGCCTCCGGGGTCCCCGCCGCTGCCGTCGCCCCCGCCCTGCGCTGAGCTGGCCCGGCCCCCGTCCCCTCGGCCCCAGGGCCTGGCCTGCGCACAGCGGTCCGGTCCGGCCGAGCCTGAAGGGGCTTCCAGCCCCCCGCAGGTGCTGGGGGGCAGGCGGGGCGGAAAGGGCAGCCTCGGCCCGTTTTCCTGCCTGTCTCCCATCCTTTGCGGTGGATGATCGTGCGGAGGGCGGGGGCGGGGGCGGGGAAAGGATTTTCCGTTTTCCTCCCGGTTTACGTGGACTTACGCAGAACTGTGCTCCTCGCCTGGCGTGTTAGACAATCTCCTTCCAGACCGTTGATTTGGAGAAAAAGCTCTGCTTGTTCACGCAGGTCTGAGGATCCTGCCGTGGTGTTTGTTCACGGGTCGCGGTGACCGGTGACCGGCCCCTGGCTGGTGCTGGCGTCCGCAGGGACCCTCCCTAGTGCAGAAATAACCTGTTAGAAGGAGTGAGCGCTGTTCTTGAACGGAGCCTCCGCGGGTGCTTTCTTCCTGTCACCCGCGTAACAGCCCCGAGGACCGGGGGTGCCCTCCGTGGTCACTCAGGTGTTAAGGAAGTCCCAGCCTAAGACCACACGTGCTGCCGTCTGGCAAGTGGCCTCCCAAAGCAGGAAACCGCATCTGCCCTGGGCCCCCAGGTGACGCTCAGTTGCAGAAAGAGCTCCATTGGGCCACCTTGGTTTCCGGCATTAAAACAGGAATCCCGGGATTGTCTTTCGGGATAAATCACAGTTAAGGCGTTAGAACGGTGGAGGCCTTCACATAAAACAGCATTTCCGGGACCTCGAGGATGCTCACATCCTAAAGGGTCGCGGAGGGGTTCCTCGAACTCCAAGCCAAGTCTCTCTTTCACGTGTTTCCACGTCAGAGGCTCTGCAAGCGTCCCTTCCGCTTTATTTGCCACAGCGAGAACGCAGAGCAGGCTCCCCCCAGCTCTGACCTCTGTTGCCCGTGTTCCGTCGGCCAGAACGAGGGGGAGGGCACCGCTCTCTGGGGCCTGGGTCGGCAGGTGTGTGTCAGCCCTGTGCACCAGCCCACGTGGCTCTCCTGGGGCCGCTGTGAGACCAGCGTCTTCAAAGAGCTTTGGGAATCCAAACCCACCAGAGCACCTCCCCACGAGCGTGTTTGCCTGCTTCCGCCTTTCACACTCTGGGGGCAGTGCTCTACCCAAAAGGGTCAGCCGAGGGGCCGGTCCTGGGCAGGACTGTACATCAGTGTGTTTGCCCTCGAGATCGGGCTGTCTGAGGGGTGGGGCGCCCCATGCCGCACAGAGAGGTCCAGGGCAGGAAGGAGCCGCAGGCGAACTCCGGTTGGTTCAGAAAACACTGTGTGTTCCGCTTCGTCTGGCCCAGGAGGTGGGCACCGAGGCCTGTCAGCGGCAGGGCCCCCCCGGGCCTGGGGGCTTGGCGTGTGCGAGCTGGGGCCCCCAGGGGAGGAGCTGACGACGGTTGGAGGCGGGATTGGACGGCGAGTCTTCTGGGGTCGTTTTTACCTGCATTTCCGCATGAAGCTGTGGCGCCACCGTCACCGCGAGCGCCGGTCGGAACCGTCGCTGGCGGCAGCGGGCGTGCAGCATGTTGTCCACAGGGCGTGCGCTGCCCTGTGAGTTGGAGGGACCTCTCCCGGCTTCTGCTCACACTCCAGGGAGGGGCCGTCTGCGGCGGTGGCGCGCGCGGCGGGGGCTGGCGGCGGCAGAGGGGGCCCGAACCCCAGTCTGACCCGTGGTGGTGGGCGCAGGGCCCCCGGGGCAGCTGTGTCCAGCGCTGTGCTTGGCCCCCCCGCCCCCACCTCCAGCCTGAGCCCTCTGTCGTCTTGAGTTTCCTGGCCGTGGAGTCAGAGGGCCACCGGTGGAAGCTGAGCTGGGCCAAAGCCAGGAGATCTCTAAAGAAATAGGGACTGTGCAGCTGGGCTGTGTGCCCGCCGTTCGCCGGCAGTGTCCTTGTGAGGCACGGTGGCAGGTCCGCCCCGCTGGGCGATGGCCCCAGGGAGGACCTACCTGCAGACCCTCCTGCGAGGCAGCCCCTTCGCACGCCGCTCAGGCTGTGGCTCCGCCGCCCGTGCCCCCGGGCCTGGGGCCCCCCAGCACCACACGGGCGGGCGGCGGGCGGACACGGGGCTGCTGCCTCTGGGGTGGCACAAACCCCCGTCTGGTGGTGGCAGCAGCACGGAGTGCTCGGCGGTGCCGCTCCTGCCTCCGGGCGGGTTGCCTTGGCCGGGGCGTCCAGGCGTCTCCTGCGAGAGGCGCCGCGCAGCGCGGCGGGATTTCAGTGAAGCTGCATTTGGTGGTGCTTTTGCACCAACTGGGTTTTTTCGTCAAGTGACCCGTGGGTGAATTTTAAAGTTTGCCCCTCTCCTTTGCAGCGCCATGGCCAGCCCAAGGACCCGGAAGGTCCTCAAGGAAGTCAGGGTGCAGGATGAGAACAACGTGAGTGCCTGCTGTGCCTTGAGGCTTGGGTTGGGGCTCCCCGCCTCCCGGACGCGGCTGGCAGTCACGGGGCCGGCCCCCGGTCACCGTCGGTCTCCCAGCCCACCTCTCCCCCGCTCCCCCTTGGGGCCACCCGTTGGGCGTGCGGGGACCCTGGGCCTGCCCAGAGCCGCCTGGGTGAGCAGCGCCTGGCTGTCCCCGCAGGTGTGTTTCGAGTGCGGTGCGTTCAACCCGCAGTGGGCGAGCGTGAGCTATGGCATCTGGATCTGCCTGGAGTGTTCGGGCAAGCACCGCGGGCTCGGCGTGCACCTCAGGTCAGCCCGGCCCCCGGCCCCCGGCCCCGGGCCCCCAGCCGCGGCCTAGGGCCCGCCGTCCAGCTGGGCGCCAGCGAGGCGCGGGCCCCGCCCTCCCCCGCCCCGCGTGCCCCCCGGGGCCCCGGGGCCGCTGTCCCTGGACACGCTCGCATCTGACCCCGGGCCAGGGGGCTCTTGGCCGGGGGCCCAGCCCTCGAGGACGTGGTCGCCCCTCTGCCCCCAGCTTCGTGCGCTCGGTCACCATGGACAAGTGGAAGGACGTGGAGCTCGAGAAGATGAAGGCTGGCGGGAACGCCAAGTTCCGGCGGTTCCTGGAGTCGCAAGAGGACTACGACCCCTGCGGGTCCCTGCAGGACAAGTACAACAGCAAAGCGGCCGCCCTCTTCAGGGACAGGGTGAGGCCAGGGTGCGCCCTGGGTGCCCCGCCGGGGCCTCGGGGGCTCCCGTCCACGGAGAGCGCGCGCGGGGTCCTGTCTGGTGCCCCCCCACCAGGGACGCAGGTGGCTTGTCGTTACAGGGCTGGGGACTGGGCCTTCCTCCCCACCCCGTCCATCGTGGGTCCCACACCCCTGGGGTTGCGGCCCCGGCCGAGAACCCGCCTGAGCATCGCAGCAAGGCCGACCTTGGTGTTCACTCCCGGCAGAGGCCCTGCCCGCGGCCCCTGAGCCGGGGGCGCCGCGTGGGGGGCCCCCTGGGGTTTGTTGGCGCCGACGCCAACCACAGCGGCTGTGACAGGTCCGACTCTCTGGCCCGTGTCCCTTCGGCAGGTGGCCACTCTGGCCGAAGGGAGAGAATGGTCTTTGGAGGCGTCGCCTGCGCAGAGCTGGACCCCGCCGCAGTCCAAGACGCTGCCGTCCGCCGTCCCCCGGTAGCCCCTCCTCTGGCCGCGGCTCCGGGCCAGGCCTCACCTTAGCTGTAGCCCCGCGCGGGCTCTTCCCTCAGTCGGTGGGGAAAGCGGGTTTCTCGGGTCGCTGCAACGCCAGGAGCTTCAGTGCTCAGCCCGCGCAGGCGGGTCTGGAAGGAGACCGGCCTCCGCCTGCTCCTCTGGCGCCGGCCCAGCGCAGACCCCGCAAGGACGTGCACAGGACACGTGTACAGCTCCGTCACACGGGACGCTCCTGTCCCGTCGGGGGAGCGCAGGCCGCGGTGGGCCAGCCGACCCCACGTGTCGGAGGCTGGTGCTGGGCGACCGGTTTGGGGAGACGTTGCCCTCGCACTGGGGCGCCCAGGTCTTCCCCGCCTGCTGCCCCCCGTGATAGGTCCAGGGGGCGCCGCCGCCAGCCCCGTCCGCCAGGCCGCTCTGTCTCCCTGCTTGTCCTCCTGGCCGCCTTGGGGGAGAACAGAGCCCGCGGGACCCAGCAGCCCTAGCGGCACCTCCGGGAGGCCTTGGGGGTCCGGCGGGCGTGTGCTGCCCTCTGGTGGCCGTCCTGACCCACGTCTCTGTTCCAGGGCCTCCAGCCAGCAGCAGAGCTGCCCCTCCTCCGCAGACAAGGCCTTCGAGGACTGGCTGGACGAGGACCTCGGGTCCTACCAGGGGTGAGGGCCGGGGGCCGTCCTGGGTCAGCACGTCAGGACGGCCGCCTGTGAACAGGGTCTGGGGTGCGGGGGCGCGTGCCCCATCCCGGGCTCAGCCCGCCTGCGCCGCCGCGCGGGGGCGCCCAGGCGGGGGCAGGCGGGGGCCTGTGTGAGCCGCGCGGTGGCTGCTGTGCTTCCCCGCCAGGGCCCAGGAGAGCCGCTACGTGGGGTTCGGGAACACCGTGCCGCCTCCGAAGAGAGACGAGGACTTCCTCAACAGCGCCATGTCGTCCCTGTACTCGGTGAGCGCCCCTGGGGGAGCCCGTCGTGGGGCGGCCCATGCCGGGCCCCCCCCCCCCGCCCACGGACGCCCGCAAGTCCTTCCGACCCCGGAAGGCTTCCCTGAGTTACCGACTTCAGCAATGAACACACTTTGAGTGAACGAGACGCGTTTCCTCCCAAGAGCGAACGTTCAGGGAGCAGGGATGTGGCTGGCTGTCCCCCGAGAGCCGGGGCCGCCCGCCCAGCCCCCCGGGGCTCACTCGCTCTGTTGGCGGCTGCAGGGTGTGGCTGCAGGGGCGATGGCTCTGGGCTGCCCGGCTCTGGCGCCCTCTGGGGACGGCACCCTCAGCCACGCACGGTCCCCCCGCCCTCTGTCCCTCCCAGCCAAACCGCCGCATTCCAAGCAAACTGTTCTTGGTTTTAGAAGCGGTGACGCTGCCCCGGCAGGTGTGGCTCAGGGGACTGAGCGCCGGCCTGCGAACCAAAGGGTCAGGTCCGGGCACCGGCCTGGGTTGCAGGCCAGGTCCCCGGTTGTGGGCGTGCAAGAGGAAACCCACCGACATGTCTCTCTGTCTCTAAAATAAAAAAAAGCGCGATGCCCCCTGGAAGCTCCAGTGTGGCAGGAACATTTGCGGGCGCCCGAGGGCCTGGCCAGGGGCGGCTTCCTGGTGGGGGGACGGGGTCTTCCAAGGGCTGAGTGAAGGAAGCCAGGGCAGACGCGGGTGCCAAGCAAAAGCGACCGAGGGCCGTCGGTGCTGTGGGTGTGCGAAAAGCCGGAGGGAGCTGCGCGGAAGCCGTCCCCTCCTGGCCGCTGCTGTGGGGCCCTGACTCGGGCGCTGCGGCCGGGTCACCGCCACAGCGCCAGGTGCACTCACGCCAGGAGTGGGCGGGTTCTCAGTGAGGGTCGCGTAGGGCCACCCGCCGCGGGGCCTGGGAGGCGGGCCTGTCCCTGGAGCCTGCCGTGCAGCAGGAGCATCTTGGCGCCGGGCGCCACCCCCGGGTGCAGGCGCGTGGCTTCGCGCCCCTGCTGTGCGAGTGGGTCGCAGCGGCCTGGGTGAACGGAGTGTCCCCCATGTGCGCCGCCCTCCGCGCTTCCTCAGGAGCGAGAGGCACCGGGGGACCTGAAGGGGTCGCTCCGATTCCTGAGCTGCTTGAACACATCTCGGAGGCTTAGGAGGAGCCTGGGACTGGACAGGAGAAGGCGGGTCACGGGCCCACTGCCCCGGGCCCGGGCTTGGCCTGTCTGTCCAGAGTGGGCGCCAGACTCTGCCCCGCAGGGGAGGCGGGGGCTCGAGCCCCGCGGTGGTCCAGGCCTGGCTCTTCGGAGTCCTTCCTGCCGGGGAGCCTCCTCGCGGGGTGGGGGGCGGTGCGCCAGGTCCAGACACGTGCGGGGTGTGACGTGACCCGTGTTCTCCCAGGGCTGGAGCAGCTTCGCCACGGGAGCCAGCAAGTTCGCCTCGGCAGCCAAGGAGGGCGTGAGTAGCCCGGCCCCGCAGCGCCAGGCCTGCGGGAGGCGCCAGCGGGCCTGGAGGGAGGGGTCGTCCTGAGCGGGGGAGGGGCTCAGCCCCAGGGCTTTGGGGGTGGGCGCGCGTGGCCAGGCTTTTCCTTCCCCTGTGACGGCCGTCGTGACTGGGGTGCCAGACCCGCTGGCCGCCGGGGGGCAGTGGCGCGGGCTGGGCAGCGGGAAAGCCCGTTTGGGGCTGGGGCGGGGGGGGGGGCGCCCCCACACCAGGGGCCCCGTGTCCCAGAGAATTAGCAGGACAGTGGCCCCAGGGGCCGCGTGGGCGCCCGGCGCCCCTGGCCGCTCTCAGGAGGCCCGGTGCCATCGGCCCCGTTCCCTTCCAGGCGACGAAGCTGGGATCCCAGGCGAGTCAGAAGGTAACAGAGGGGCCCCCTGTGCCCTGTGCCCTGCGAAACCCCAGTCAGGCGTCCCCCCAGTGTCTGGGGCGCCCTGGTGGCCCTCCTGGGCCCCGCGCCTGGGGAGGGGACAGTGCTGTGTGCCCCTGGGCCCCCACCGGCCCGTGTGGGGACGCGCATCCCCGGCTGACGCCAGCACTGGTGCCTTGGGGGCCTGTGCGTTCGGCAGGTCGGGTGGGAGGCTCCAGATGCTCGGGGCCTGTGGGGCCGCGGCCAGGGTGTGGGTGGCCGCGGGGCCGCTGCAGAGCCTCCTGGTCAGGAAGGGGGAGGCCTGCCCACCGGCCGCGGAGGCTCGGGGTGGCCAGGGCGGGGCTGCGTCCCGGGTCAGGGCCCTCTTCCCAGAGGCGGGCTCTCTGGCCTCAGCCCTGTTTTCTTCAAACCCCGCCTGTGGCCCTCGCAAGCCCCGGAGGTGCCAGGCCCTGGCGTGGCCGATCGCCCGCGGGTCAGGGGTGAGGTCTCAGGAGCGGGCAGCGGCCACCGGGCTGCCCAGCCCAGTGAGGGAGGGGTGGCCTCCCCGCTCCTGTGCCCCGCGGGGCCTGTGCCCTGCTTCTCTGTGAGCCCCGCCGCGGGGCTGGCGGTGGCCGGGGGCGGGGCTGCGCCGAGCGCCTCCGGGTGCCCGCGCTGCGCTACCGCCTCGCTCTCTCCTCTCTCCCCGCTGCCCCCGTGCCGCTGGGTAAAGTTCTGGGGCTCCAAGCAGCAGCCAGAGCCGGTAAGGCCCGCATCCGCCCGGGCATGCTGCCTGCTGCGGGGCTGGGCGCCGCGCCGTCCCGCGTGCTGTGGCCTGTCTCGTGTCTGTGCTTCGTGTGCCCGCGCGTAGCCTCTCGCGGCCCAACGGGCTCCTGCCGGGCCCGTGCACACTCCCTGGTGACCCGCATTTGCCTGCGACCCAGGAGGCGGAGGGGTAGTGGCCCGGAAGCCCCCGTGGCTGCCGGGGGGACCCTCAGGGTGTGACAGCCTCGAGCCCGACCCTGCAGAGGCGTCTTGCTGCGGGGGTGAGGTCCTGGCCCTCCCAGTCGTGCACCCTGCCCCCGAGCGGGCCTCCGGTCAGCCGGCTCTGTCCCTTTCCCTCCAGCCAGCTCCCGAGTGCCCGCTGCAGGGCAGGTGCTGGGCGGCGGGAGATGCGCCCCGGCATCGCTAGGGGAGCACGTGGCCGCTCGGCACACGGCCGTCCTCACCGGACAGGATCCACGGGGCTCCGAGTGGAGACCCTGGCGCGCGGGCCGACCCGGAGCCTCCCCGCACGGCTGCGCGGCTGCCGCCATGCAACCCCCGCCCGGGCGCCCCTCCCACGGCGCCTGTCCTTTCGCAGGCGTCAGAGCTGGGCCACAGCCTGAACGAGAACGTCCTCAAACCCGCCCAGGAGAAGGTAACGTGCTGCCCCCGGCGCCGGGCTCCGCGGGCCCCGGGGCTGGTGGCACAGAGGGGCCTGCCCCGGACGGAGGCTCCCAGAGGGCCACGCGGCCTGTGCCTGGGGAGGGCGCGGAGTGAGGCCAGCGTAGGGGCGCGTGTCGCCGGCTCCCACCCCTCCCCGCCCTCCGGGAGCCAGGTCACGGCCGGGCGGCTGGCTCCCCGACGCGGCTGCCGTGGGGCAGTGTCCCTGGTCCGTGAGGGTGGCCGGCTTCCGCACGGTAACGGCACTGTCTGGCCCACGCAGGTGAAGGAGGGAAGGATCTTTGATGATGTGTCCAGCGGGGTCTCTCAGTTGGCGTCCAAGGTAGGGCGCCTGCCTATGTGCAGGCACCGCTCAGCGTCCCCACGTTCCGGCACCGGGAGCCGAGGGCTGGGCGCGTCCTGCCCTGGTCGCCGCTGCGGCCGAGGGGCGCAGGCGCTGCGGTGCTGGCAGGGCAGGCGGGCCCTCGGTGCTGACGGTGCCGGAATGAGGGGACGCTGAGCGGCGCAGCACGGCCTCTAACCTGTCGCTTTTCCTCTGTGCCCTTCTTGCTGCCGCTGGCGGTCCCCGGTGAGTGCCGGCCCTCGGGCCTGCCGGGTGGGGGGCGCGTGCCTGCGGCCCAGCTTCCTGCGCTGGCTGGCGAGCTGCCCTCGCTGCCGAGGGGGCCGGAGGGGGAGCCGCGGGGCCGGCGGGGAGGGCGGCGTCGCGGTAGCGGGAGCTCCGCCGGGTCTTGGAGCAGGGGCTGCCGGTGCACTCCGGGTCTGAGCCCAGCTGAGCTGCGTCCCGACCCCCTTCCAGGTCCAGGGAGTTGGCAGCAAGGGATGGCGGGACGTCACCACTTTTTTTTCGGGGAGAGGGGAGGACCCCTCGGACAGGTACGCCAGGCCCCCGTCCTGACGTGCCCCCGAGCCTGGTTCTGTTATACCCCCTTCAAGACGCCTCCACTGGGGTGGGCAGTGGAGCCCGGGCCCCCGGCCTGAGGCCTGGCAGGATCCCTCCCGCATGCGTTGGGCACGGGGCTCAGTAAGGGGGCCGGTGTGTTTGGGGCGGTGCCGTGGGGAGGCCAGGGCTTGGGGAGCAGCTGCTCAGAGCCCCCCTCTTCCCCAGACCCCCGGAGGGCCAGAGCTACCAGAACAGCACCATCGACCAGAGCTTCTGGGAGACGTTTGGGACTGCGGACCCCGCCAAGGCCCACGGGTCCCCGAGCAGCGACAGCTGGACCTGCGCGGATGCGTCTGCGGAGAAGCGGAGCTCGGACAGCTGGGACGTGTGGGGCCCGGGCTCCGCCTCCAACCCCAGGAGCAGCGACAACAGCGACGGCGCGGAGGCCTGGGCGGGCAGCGGGGAGGGCCCGGCCAAGCCCGCCGGGAAGGCGGCGCCGAGGGCCGCGCAGGTGGACGAGGGCTGGGACAACCAGGACTGGTAGCCCCAGGTGGCCCTGTGCGGGCACTGGCTCTCTTCCAGTCTCCCTCCGTGTGGGCCAAGGAGCCTGGCCGCGACGGGAAGGCCGCGCCGTGGGCGCGGCCCTGGGGGCCTGCCTCCTGCCCCCCGGTGGTCTCGGTGCGGGGGGTGGGGGGGCTTGCCCTCCAGGCCCTGCGGCCGCAGTGGGCAGGGGCTGGGCCGCTGTCCTGTTGAAGGTGTCCTGCTCCGCTGCATTCTCGGGGCCGTGGAGGGCCGGGCCCCGCTGCTGGGGGAGGCCGGCCACGCACTCGCTAATAAATGCGCTCCCCACGGCTGCATGGCGGCCCGTGTCTGTGCCGTGACCCGGTGCTCCCCGAGGGTCTGCCTCCCCCACCTTGTGGTCGTTCTCTGAAAAACATGCCCCAGGTCTTAAGAGACAGGCTCCAAAGGCAGCACCAGAGTCCCCGCTGCTGCCGGCCCCACCCTCCACCCTCCACGAGGGGCTTGGCCTCAGACACACACACACGTGCACACACACACGCGCACCCCGCCCCTGTCTGCACGGGAACTCGGCCCAGCCTGCGGCAGCCCCGAGGGCGCCCGGCCCAGCTCAGAAAGGGGCTGCAGGTCTGTGTGGTCAGGCGGGACGGTGATCCCTGCCCCACCGGCCAGCCACTGGGGGCCTTCGCCAGCAGTGTCTCTGCCGCAGAGCGCCTTCGCGTGCCCCCGAGGCTGAAGCCGGTCGAGGGGCCTCAGGCGGCTCGCGTTTGGCCGAGTCCTGAGCCGGCCCGGCTCTCCAGAGGCAGGGGTGTTGGGGTCTGAGACCCCGGGCGGGGTGCAGCCATCCTTGCTGCTGTGCAGGGCGAGTGAGGAGGGGCCCAGGGGTCTGCCCCAGAGTCCTGCCGTGTGCGGGGCCAGCCAGCAGGCAGTGAGGCCCCGCCCCGCCCCGCGGGGTCCCTTGCCTGGGACCTGCCTGCTCGGCGCCCTCCCCTCACGCGCTGCCTCCCTGTTCCAAAGGTGCTTCCCGTGGGTGGGCCTCGGGGACCCCAGGCTCAAGCCAGGGGAGAGGGGCCTTCTGCCCACTCCCCTAGGTCAGAACCAGCCCCGGGGCCACCTCCCCGCTGTGGGGCAGGCTCTGGGCCCACCTGTGACAGGTGGGGCGGGTGACAGCCGGGACGCGGGCTGCTCTGCCACCCCCGGAGGACAGGCCTCCCGCTCAGCGCCTGGCCGCCCGCCCCTCCCAGCCGAGCCCTCGCAGGTGTGCACGGCGCCTGGGACCTCGGCCCCCTGGATGCAGGGACTGTGGGGCAGGCGTGAGCGCCCAGGACTCGATGGCCTCACGTGTGGGGAGGGTAGCGCTGCAGTGGGCTGTGTGTGAGTGCACATGCGTGTCCCCCGTGCCCGGGAGCCCCATCTGGTGACTGGGCGCCCTCTGGTGGCCGCTGCCTGGGGCTGCAGGGCCCTTGGGTCACAGGCGTGGGTCCCAGGCTCCCCCAGGGCCCGCGTGCTCAGCCTTGCCACCGCGTCCCCTCTGGATGCCCGGGTCCCCAGGCGGGGCGGCTCCCAGGCTCCTTGTGCCCTGAGGCGCTTCCTGGCCCCAGGAGCCCCAACACCAGGGGAGAAGCTGGGCTCAGCGGGGCCTCTGGATGCCTGGGGCGAAGCAGCTTGGTTTTGTCACCCAGCCTCGGGGTGGGCGGGCCCCTGACCTTCGCACACCGGCCTGGCCCGCCTGCGCAGCCTGCAGCCGGTGGCCTGAGCTGTCCGCGCCCCCGGCCTCCCGCCCCCAAAGGCCTCCGTCTGCAGAGGCTGAGCCCAGAGCAGAGCTGGCCGTCCCCAGAGCGCCCCTCGACTCCCGGGCAGGGCTGGTCCCCCGTCTGGGCCCTGGCTCCTGGGGGCCACGTCGGCCAGGCCGCAGGGCTGTTGGGGGAGGCTGGGCAGGCGGAGGGGCTGAGCTTCCTGAGGCGCAGGCGGAGGAGGGAGGGAGCCTTGGGGTCCGTGGGAAAGGCTCTGGGGACAGCGGGGGCGTGGGCGCTGGGGACCGCCACGTGGACCCCGGGGCTCGGTCTGGGGTCCTGGCCCTGAAACCGATGCCGGCGGAGCGGGGAGGGGTGAGGGCTGGTGTGGCACGCGGTCCAGGTGCTGCTCCCCTCCCCCCCACCCCCCGCGCTGCCGGAGAACCCAGTGCCCGTTGCCTGCATCTCGGTGCCCGGGGCCACCCCGGCGGCCTTTGTTCCCGAGCCGCCCTCTAGAGCCAGCCCTGTGGAGTGAGGGGTGCACCCCTCCAGGCGGTGTCCCCATCCTGTCATGAGGCAGGGTCCTCTGCGCTCTGACCAGCGTGCCTCACTGTTAGAGGGACATCCCGGCAGCCATGGGGGCAGGGGGAGGCCAAGGGGCGGGCCGGGCAGTGACGTCGGGGGAAGGGCCTTCATAACCCGGCCGCCCTGCGGCCGCGGCAGCCGGGCCCCGTGGGCACGAGCAGGTTGGTGAGTGGCCCGCGCCGTCAGCTGCAACCTTGGCCTTTCAGACAGGCTGGGAGGAGCTGGGCTGGGGGGGGCAAGGGCTCTGGGCCCCGGGAAAAGGTCCCACCGAGTCAGGCCAGGGCTCTGGGGGGGGTCCAGCTTCAGAGTGAGGGCGCAGGCACTGGGGCGGCCGCAAGGCCCCTGGCCACCCCCCACCCCCGCCCCCGGCCCGAGGAGCCTGCAGGCTCGGCGGGCAAGTAGCCCTGCCCTGGGGGAGGCTGGCTGAGGGTGGCCGGGGCCGAGGTCCTACGCTTGGTGTCCTGTGCCACCAGCAGAGGCAGCCTGGGCTGGGGGCGCCCCCAGAAGCCTGCCCAGCACCCCAAAACTGCTTCCGGGGCCTCCTCTCCCCACCGAGAGGCGGGCGGCTGGTGCTCTGCCTCAGCTCCCCCCGCCGCCCCGGCTGCTCGGCCCTGACAGCGGCCGCCCTTGTCTGGGCTCGGGACGCGAGAGTAACTGTGGCCGCGGTGGGACCCGCGCTGGCCCGTGGACAAGGCCCTGAGGGCGGGATGTGGCCAGGCAGTGACGAGCCAGCATCCTCGGGGGGCGGCCGGCAGAGGGGCGGTGGCCTCTCGCTTCGGGAAGCTCCTGCCGGGCCCTGAGGACGCGTCCTGCAGATCATGGGGGCGGGCGGCTGTGGGCGCAGCGTCCGGGGCCCCCACGCCTGCACGTGGACGTCCGAGGTCGGCTCAGGCCGCGGCCGCAGGGCGTCATGGCGAAGCTCGGGCGTGGCGGTGGCAGGGGAGGGACGGACGGACAGAGGGACCACAGCAGGCTGAGCGGCCTCCCCTGCCACAGGCCGAGCACCATGGGCGCCCGCGTGCGCCCCCACCTGGGCGTCTGGCTGTGGCTGGGCATCGCTCTGGGCCTCGCCTGGGAGCCAGGTAAGGACAGGGCCAGGGACTTGCTGGGGTCTGAGCCCCTGGCCGTCCCCAGCCCCAGGGGTGGCTGCCCCCGAGAAACTGGTGCTCAGTCAGGACGCCGGGCGGGGCAACCGCAGGGGTCCTCTGGGCTCCTTTGCCGCAGCCTTGGCCCCCGCCGGCCTCTTGACCTTCGGCCTTGCAACCTTTCACCTTGTCTTGAGGATACTTGTTTTCTGGTTCATTTGTTTGAAAACAGGTATTAACACACTGCACTCGATTCTCTCGTGTTAATGTTTTGTTTCTAATTATGCTGCGGATGCCTTTTCCACGTAAGATTTTCAAACGCCGTAGGCCGACGGCGGCAGTGACTCCCTCCCGCCCCAAGCACGGGGTGTGGGCCGTTGGCTTCTAGCACTTTCCAGCTCGTTTAAGGCACGTGGGGGTCAGGTTCATGGCCGCGGCGCCCGGCTCTGGCACGTCCTCAGTCGGACGCGTCCTGCAGGGCGTTGACCCCGTGTCCCTCCTGGGTGGTGGCCATCGCAGGGTTGCTCAAAACACCCCAACAGGGGTGCATCCCGGAAAGTGGGTCCCGTGGGCGCCGGGAGGCAGTCCCGGCGTCTGGGGGCTGAGCCTCTGGCGCCCAGCAAGCTGGCCTTGCCCCCAGCTGGGCGGGGCGCTGGCACCTGCCGGCTCCCGCCTGGGGACGTGAGGGCAGGGTCCGCCGGCCGTCGCTGTGGGGGCGCGGCCGAGGCCAGCGGGGCCGACCTGCCTCGTCTCCTGTCTGCTTTTGTGCCGGGTTGGTGACGGCCGCCTGGGTGGGTCCTTCGGTCCCCGTGGCTCTGGCAGGACACACCGAGGTGGGACCAAGTCACAAAGTGACCGGATGACAAGATGAGCTCAGGACTCGCGCACTGGGCGGCCCCTCCCTGAGGAGGGCCCCGCAGAGGGGGCACCCCCGTGGCCTGGGCAGCGCCCCGCCAGGGCCCCCAGCTGGGGCCCCCAGGAGGCAGGCTGGGGTGCCCCCCGGCATGTCGGAGGTTCAGGGACACAGAGGGCTGGCTCTTCCTGGGCCACAGCCAGGCCCCTGCGCACAAGCGGCTTTTCAAGGCCCCGGCGGCCCGGACATTCCTGCCCTTCAGCCCCGCGCTCCGGGGGAGCCGCCGGGCTGCCCGGAGCCGGGCTCATCTGCTCCGCGCTCTGAGGCCGCATTGTGTCTGCCCGGGCGCCCCGGCTGCTGCCCTCCTCCGCGTGCACCCCAGCCGTCCGAGGGGCAGCCAGAAGAAGCCCATCCCTGTCTCCGTTTTCCAAAAATAGCTGCCCCCAGCCTGGAGCTCCCGGAAGCCTCCCTGGGAGGTCAGGCCCTGCCCCAGAGCTCAGGCCACTGCTGCCCCATCCTCCAGGACAGCCACCCCCAGGGAACCCCCGCCCCTCCGGGGCACTCCCGTGCCCCACACACCCTCACGCCGCAGGGCGCCCCGCCCCATGGGGCTGTGGGGGGCAGTGGGGTGTCTGCCGCGGGGCACAGCTGCTCTGCCCACCAGCCACCCCCTCCAACCCCGGGGCGGGGCAGTTGGTTCAGCTCCTGCAGCTGCTGGCAGGGTGGTTGTCACACCTCCGGACGCTGGCCTGGGCCTCCCTCGGCCAGGGCAGGGCCTCGTCTTCTCAAAGTGCCCCCCAGTGGGGCCAGGCTCGCCTCGCACCATTTAGAGCAGGTCCCACAGCAGTTGGGGTGCTCACTGGGGTCAGTTCTGACCGCCCTGTCCCATCTCCTCAGCGAGTGGCCGCCTGCGGCTGGCGGTGCTGCCGGAGGACCGGCTGCAGATGAAGTGGGCGGAGTCGGAGGGGCCCGGCCGGGGCTACCTGGTGCAGGTGAAGCCCACGGCAGGTACGCCTGCGCCTCCCAGCGCTGCGAGGGCCACGGCAACGTGTGCGCGGCCGTCCCTGCGCCCCGTTCTGTGTCTCTGCGCCCATGCGTCTGCGGGACTCCGCCGTGCCTGCCTGGGGGCAGGGCACGGAGCGGGAGAATCGCGCGTTTCCCACGCGGACCCTGACCCACACAGAAGGCGCCTGTCACCGCTTGGGAGGACTCGGCGGGTCCTGCTGCAGCGCAGAGCCCCTCCGGGACTCCGTGTGCCAGCGGCTGGTGGGAGGGCCACCGGGGACAGGAGGGAGGCCCGGGGGCCCCGGGAGGCCGAGCGTGGTCCGGCCACGGAGCTCCGCAGATGTGGCCGGGGCGCGGGGTTTGAAAACTGGGAGGACAGTTTACACGTGCGCGTGTAGCCGCCGGGAGGGGCAGAGCGTGACCCGGGACCGGGGGAACGGCTCCCCCCGCTGCGCGTACACGCACACACTCATGCACACACATGCAGTCATGTACACACACATGCATGCACACGTGTGCACGCGCGCGCGCGCGCACTCCACCGGCCTCCGCAGCCCTTCCCACCGCCACCCCAGGGGACTCGGAGCAGGAGGTGATGCTGACCACCAAGACCCCCAAGGCCACGGTGGGCGGCCTGAGCCCCTCCAAGGAGTACACTCTGCAGATCTTCGAGCTCACGGGCTCCGGGCGCGTCCTGCTGGCTCGGACGGAGTTTGTGAGTAAGTCAGGCGCCCGCACGGGCCTCCGGCCTCGGGGGCGGGGCCTGTGCGGCGGGGGCGGGGCCTATCCCGGGCCCGCCTCCGGCGCCTCGCGCACCGCCCCTCCGTCCCCGCCTGTCCCCAGGCGCCCCAGCCCCTGCTCCCGCCCTGGCGCCGTCCCGACCGGCCCCTACTTTGCCCGCAGTCGAGGACTTGAAGAGTCGCCCCGTGAGCGGGAGCAGCCGGCGGCCCCCGGAGCCCACGCCCTCCGCCGCCGGGAGCCCGGACGCTGAGCCCCGAGTCACCGCGGCGCCCAGCCCAGCCCCGCCCACTCCCGCGGGGTCCGCACGCGGCGAGGGTAAGGGGCCGGGGAGGTGGCAATCGGGCCAGTCACGTTTCCTCTGCGGAAGCGTCTTCCTCACACCCGACCTTGCCCTCCGTGGCTTAACCGAAGCCCGGGCCGCTGTGGGGCTCACCCAAACCCGCCACACAAACCCGCGGGCCGGGGCCTGGTCCCCACGCCCCCGCCGCCGGAGCCGGGCAGGGGAGAGACCACACAGCTGTGGCCTCCCCTAAGGGCCCCGGGGGGCGGCCCCTGCCCAGCCCGGCCAGCGAGGCAGAGCCACCGTGTGACCCAGGCAGGGCAGCAGGTGTGCTGTGTTTTTTTTTTTTTTTTTTTTTTTAAGATTTTATTTTTAGAGAGAAGAAGGGAAGGAGAAAGGGAGAGAAACATCCATGTGTGGTGGCGTCTCGCGCGCCCCCTGCTGGGGACCTGGCCCGCGACCCAGGCCTGTGCCCCGACTGCGGATCCTTCGATTCGCAGGCGGCGCCCAGTCCGCTGCGCCACACCAGACGGGGCAGGTGCGCCGTGTTCTGCACGAGGCCCTGCAGGCTGGGCGGTGCCTCCCCGTCGGGTGGGGGTCCCACGGCGCCTGCCGTCTCAGAACCTCCGCGTCTGGCCCTGACTCGGGGCTCGCCCAGGAGGCCCTGTCTCTGTGCGCGACGCAGGGAGCGGGGGCCCCGGAGACGGAGCGCAAGGCTTTGCGAAAAGCTCCTGGCCGTTCAGGGCGAGCCGCGGGCGGCGCTGTCCGAGGTGCTGACGCGCCGCCGCAGTCAGCACCCCCGGCGGCCTCTGCCCCGGGCCTGGTGCCGGTGGCTGCCGGCTGGGGGGACTAGAACAGCAGCCCGCACGAGACGACCCCGCCCGGTGGCCTGCCCGGCGGGAGCACCTGGGTGTGGCACTCGCCCTCTGGAGGGCTCAAGGGGCCGACCCCAGGGATCAGGGTCCACATGAGGTATTTTGAGTCCCCTGAGCCCCGAGCCCCTCTGGAGTCCGTGTCCTCCAAGACTCAGCGTTCGCCTCACTCGGAGGCCAAGCCCTGTGGCCCCTCGCGTCCGCCCGCCCCAGGGAAGGCGATCCTGGGTGGGAGCCGCTTAGGGTCCTGCAGCGGCACCGGGCCTTGCCCACAACTCACCGCCCTCCCTGCCTGCCCAGCTGGCCCCCAGTTCCGCTGCACGCCCCCCACCCCCGCGGACATGATCTTCCTGGTGGACGGGTCCTGGAGCATCGGCCACAGTCACTTCCAGCAGGTCAAGGACTTCCTGGCCAGCGTCATCGAGCCCTTTGAAATCGGGTCGGACAAAGTCCAAGTCGGTGGGTTCTGGTCCCTCCCCCGCGGCCCCTTCGCGGTGGTCCTCACTGTCTCTCCCCAGCCCCCAGGGCTGGGCAGACCTTCCTGCTGACCGGCGTGGCCTGCAGCCGCGGGCCGGGCCAGGCCAGGTGGGGACCCCGCAGGCCTGCTGGGGCCGCTGGCCCCCAGGGGGATGCGCTGCCAAGCCCTGTGTGGAGGGCAAGGGCTTTGGGAGTGTGGGCTCTCCTTGGTGACCCGCGCCGGGCGCCCTCCCCAGGACTGACACAGTACAGTGGAGACCCCCAGACCGAGTGGGACCTGAACACCTTTGGCACCAAGGAGGAGGTGCTGGCGGCCGTCCGAAGCCTCCACTATAGGGGGGGAAACACCTTCACAGGTCCGTCCTTGTCCCGCAACCCCACCCCTCCCGCTGCCCAGAGAGCCAGCCCCTCCGCCCACACCCGCCCAGACCAGCACACCTGGGCGTAGACCACGCCCAGTGCCGGGTGGGGCCGGGCCCCCCCTGCCCACCTTTGGGAGTGTGGCTGCTCTGCGCTGCCAGTGAGCTGCTCCTCCGACAGACAGAAGCCCCAGGGGGTCACCAGTGGGTGTGGGCGTGGGCTCGCTGGAAGCAGCCCTACGGCACAGCCTTCCCCCAGCCCGAGCCTGCCCACGCCGGCTGCCCCCGCTGCTCGGGGCCAGCTGTGGAGGGCCTTCGGTGGGCGAGGAGGAGGCGCCCCTGCCCTGTGGGCACCCCCCAGCTGGAGGGCCCCGGAGGGACGGACGTGGGGGTGCAGCTCGGGGCAGCGGGGAGGGCGCCAGGCGGGGGCGCAGGCCTCTGCACCGTGTACCCGCCGCTCCCAAGGCCTGGCCCTGACCCACGTGCTGGAGCGCAACCTGAAGCCCACAGCGGGCCCCCGCCCTGGGGCGGCCAAAGTGGTCGTTCTGGTGACGGACGGCAAGTCCCAGGACGACGCCCGCACCGCTGGCCGCGTCCTCAAGAGCCTGGGCGTCGACGTCTTCGCTGTGGGTGAGCGGCCTGCGCCTCCCGGAGTTCCCGTCTCCTCCGTAGCCGTCTCCCCGCCCCGCCTCCCCTGTGGGCCGGCCCCCGCCGCCACTGTCCATCGCGGGCCCTGCCAGGTGGGGCCCTGGGTGCACGGCGGGGACAGCCCCCGACCCACCGCGGTGACCAGGGCAGGGCCAGGGATTCAGTCCGAGACGTGACCGCAGCTCTGGGGCCCCGCCTCACTCCCGCGGCCTGTCGGCAGGCGTGAAGAACGCCGACGAGGCAGAGCTGAGGCTCCTGGCGTCCCAGCCCCTGGACGTCACCGTCCACAACGTGCAGGACTTCCCGCAGCTCGGCACCCTGGCCGGCCTGCTCAGCCGCCTCATCTGCCAGAAGGTCCAGGGCCGGAGCCCGCGAGGGGGCCCAGGTGAGCGGGAGCCTGGGGGCTGGAGGGCGGGTCGCCTGCGCTCGGGGCCCGGCCACTTTGGGTGGAAGGACTGGCTTGTGGCTTCTGTGGGGGGCCCCGACACCCCCGCTGCCCGTTGCTCGGGCTCCGTGGGCGTCTGCTGCCCCCGCCTGTGCTTCCCCAAGGGGCCGCCAGGGGGAGCAGAGGAGCCCCTCGGGCCGGCGGCCCGCGGGGCCCCTGACCCCCGGCCTTTGCTCCCTCAGCTAAACCAGCGGCAGCCTCCGACCCCCCCGCCGCTCCCACCAGCCTGGTCCTGACCCAGGTGACCTCCTCCAGCGTCCACCTGTCCTGGACTCCAGCCCCTCAGCCGCCACTCAAGTACCTGGTGGTGTGGCGGCCTTCCAGGGGCGGTGCCCCCCGGGAGGTGAGCGGCCCCCAAGCCGTCCCGGGAAAGGTCCGGGATGAAAAGTCGCCGTGGGGGCGGGGCACGGCGCCGACCCGGCCGGAAGGCCTCGGGGCGCACCGGGCCGGTAAGCAGGCTCAGCAGGTGTGCCGCCTGTGCCGCCCGCGCCGCCCACGCCTGCTCGGTGCCCGACGCAACGCGGCTCCGGGGGCCGGGGCGCTGGGAGCCGGGGCCGGCCCCGTCCCGCCCCAGCCGGCCCCGCCCCGCCCGAGTCGGCCTCGGCCCCGCCCCCGCCCGCTGCAGCCGGCTTCCTTCCAGGTGGTGGTGGACGGGTCTAGCGCGTCCGCGGAGCTGCACGGCCTGGCCGCCGGCACGGAGCACCTGCTGTCCGTGCTCCCCGTCTCCGAGGCCGGCGTCGGCGAGAGCCTGCGGGGCCTGGTGACCACAGGTGGGGGCCGCGGGCGGTCAGGGGCTTCAGTCTTGGCTGGGGCGGGGGCTCCGCCCCCAGCGCGCTGTGTGACCGAGGTGGCTCGGGGTCCCGCTCTGGCCCTCGGCGCCCTCTTCCGAATACCAGTGACGTCATGCGCGTCACTGCCACTCCTGGACGAGACCTGTCCCTTCTCACGGGTTCCAGGAACCCCCGCCCCGCTGCGCCAGGACGTCCTCAGCCCTGTCGCTCGGTGGCGACACAGGTCGCACGACTGAGCACTCCGGGCGCACAGGCCACTGGCTTTGCGGAGCTCACAGGGCTGGGCCTCCTGCCACCGCCGTCCAGCTCAGCACACAGGCCCTGCCGCGCCCCTTACCCGCCCCCGACCCCAAGCCCACGGCAGCCCCCTGCGGACCGCGGCCCTCCCACCCTATGCAGGGGCCCGCGAGGGGGCTGTGTGTCCCCAGAGTTGGAATCTTGGCCCAGGGCGAGGTGTGGGGTCAGGGCCTTAGAGTCGCCTGCGGCCGGTGGCGTGACTTCTGCCTGCGGCGTCTCCTCTTCCAGCGCCTCTGCCTCCGCCCCAGGCGCTCGCCCTGGCCACTGTGACGCCCAGGACCGTCCGCCTCACCTGGCAGCCCTCGGCCGGGGCCACCCAGTACCTGGTGCGGTGCGTGCCGGCCGCCCCCAAAGGCGAGGAGGAGGGCAGAGAGGTAGGTGGGCGACCGAGGGCGGCGCAGGCGGCTGGGGCGCGGGGGTGGGGCGAGGCGGCGGGGGCCAGCCTGAGCGCCACACCCCGTGCAGGTGCAGGTGGGGCGGCCAGAGGCGCTGCTGGGTGGCCTGGAGCCGGGCAGGGACTACGACATCTGGGTGCAGAGCCTGCAGGGGGCGCAGGCCAGCGAGGCCCGGGGCATCCGCGCCAGGACCCGTGAGTGCCTCCTGCCCCCTGCCGCCCGCCGGGGGGCAAAGGCGCCCGCGGGGACCCCAAGCCTCCCACGGGCGGTGGGGCCCCAGCTCCCGCCCACACGTTCCCACACCTGGCGGCAGCGGGGGTCCCTGAGGCCTCGCTGTGTCCGCAGCACCCCTGGCCACCCCCAGACACCTGAGCTTCTCGGATGTGACCCACGACTCGGCCCGTGTGTCCTGGGAAAGCCCCCTGAGGCCCGTGCGCCTGTTCAGAGTCAGCTACGTGTCCAGCGAGGGCAGCCACTCGGGGCAGGTGAGAGCAGGCTGCTGTCCCGTGGAGCCGCCGGGGGACAGGGCGTCCAGGGTGCTGAGGCGTCCCCAGGGGCCCCCACCCTGATTCCCAGCCTGCGGCCGGGACACAGAGCCGCCCCTGCCCCTGGCCCCCAGTCTGACAGGCCTGGGGCGTCGTGCGTGAAGCAAAAGACCCTAAAATGACCACGAACAACAGCCCCGACGAAGATGGTGACCTGGGAGGCTGTGGGGGGAGAGTGTGGCCGTTGGGTCATCTGGGCCGGCGGGGCCCCAGGGCTGCCCCAGTGTGGGGGCCACACCCCATGTCTATACCCGCCTTGCAGACGGAGGCTCCTGGGAACGCCACCTCAGTCACCCTGGGTCCCCTCTCCTCCTCTACAACCTACTCCGTCCGCGTCACCGGCCTCCACCCCGGGGGCAGCTCCTCCGCGATGACCGGACGCCTGACCACGCGTGAGTGGGCGGTGGTCAGGGGGTCCGGGCTGGGCTGCATCCCTCTGCCCCCACGGGTGGTTCAAATCAACACGATGCTGAGGTGTCCGCTCTGTGCAGCCCGGAGCCCGGTGGGATGGGCACCGGCCCGAGGGTGATAGGGGGCGCAGGCCCTTGTGGGTGGGGCGCGGGGGCCCCAGTGTCGAGCAGAGTTGGGGGCTGGGGCGCCTCCAGCAAGCCGGCCTCCGCGCTGCCTGTAGCCCAGTCCAGGGGAGAGGGGGGCATGGGGACAGCCGCCACCCGGAGACTGCGGTCCCCTCTGACCCGCGGGGCGGGCCGTGACCCCGAGACCTCCTTACCGGTCACCTGAGAGCCCATTGGATGGGCCCCCGAGGGGGCTGCCTGGGCCCTGCCGCCCCAGCCCCCGCCCCCTCTCTCGTCTCCCAGGGAAAGTCCCCAGCCCGAGCCGGCTCTCGGTGACCGAGCTGCCTGGGGGCGAGGTCCGGCTGACATGGGCGGTGGCCGCCGCGTCCGGGGTGCTCGTCTACCGGATCAGGTGGACGCCTCTGGGAGACGGGAAGGTGCACGAGGTGCGGGGGAGTGGAGCCCGCCCCTCGCCCGTGTCCCGGGGACCCACGCCCCCGTGCAGCGCCTCGGGGACCCTCCCACCCCGCCCTCGGCCTGCGGGCCAGCCCTGGCGTGAGGCCCCCACTGCAGCGGGACGCGGCCCTCCTCTCCGCAGATCTCTGTCCCGGGGAGCCTGGGCGCGGCCGTGCTGCCCGGCCTGGGGCGGCAGGCGGAGCACGAGATCACCGTCCTGGCCTACGACCGGGACGGCGCCCACAGCGACCCTGCGTCCGTCCGCTACGCCCCCCGTAGGTGGCCCTCAGCTGCCCGGGCCGGAGACAGACGGGGGCCCCGGGCCGCTGACCCCCCGGCCTGCTCGCTGGGGCCCAGGGCCTCCCTGAGCCCTCGGGCACTGCCCCTGGGGCGGCCAAGGGACACCGTGCTCCCAGGCCGCGGGGCTGAGCTGGCGGCCCCGTCTGTCCCGAGGTCTCAGGGCAGCGGGGGGGTGGGGGGGAGCAAGGGTCTTAGGGTGTGGTGGTCTGGGGCCGGGGCCGGGGCTGGGGCTGGGGTCGGCGCAGGAGGGCGTGGGGGGCTGGGGCTGGGTGTGGCGCTGGCTTTGGGCCCATCCTCGCTGAGCCCACACCCCCTCAGTCAGCCGGAGCCCACCCTCCAACCTGTCCCTGGCTTCCGAGTCGCCCAGCAGCCTGCGGGTCAGCTGGACGCCCCCGACCGGCCCTGTCCTCCGCTACCGGCTCACCTACGCGCTGGCCTCGGGCTCCGGACCGGAGAGATCGGTGGGTCTCCGTGGTGGCGGGGGCCGGGGGGAGACGTGGCCTGCCGTGCGTGAGCTTGTCACGCGGGACACGGCCGGAGAGGCGCGAGAGGCCGGGCGAGCCGAGGTGCTCGGGCCGCGGCTCAGGCAATGGCGCCGGTGCCCCGCAGGTCTCTGTTCCAGGATCCAGGAGCCACGCGACGCTCCCCGACCTGCTGGCGGCCACCAAGTACAGGGTCCTGGTGACCGCGGTGTACGGGGCGGGGGAGAGCGCGGCCGTGTCTGCCACGGGCCGGACAGGTGAGTGGGCACGGGGGTCCGGACCCCGGCCTCTCGACACCCAGAGCCTGTGGGGCCTCCCACCTGCGGCTGCCGGCAGCTCATGGGCCTGTCAGCCCCGGGCAGCCCCGGGCAGCCCCCTGGCCCGGCCTTTCGGGGCACGTCTCGGGGGGCTGGTACCTTCCGGTGGCGTGAAGTCCGACCCCTGAGATGGCAGGACGCCCCGCCCTTCCCCCACCGTCCCTGCGGCACCGCGGGGCCAGGGGCCTGCGGACCCTGGAGAGGGGAGGACAGCGCCGTGGCTCCAGCCTGTCTCCAGCCACAGGGCAGGGCCCGCCCGGGAGGAGCCCAGGCCGCTCCCCGCCAATCCCGACTCCCTGTCGCCCCTCAGCAGCCTGCCCGGGCCTCCTCGCGGACGGCTCCCTCGCAGGTGGGTCCTGCCCCGGGACGGCGCCCTGCCGCCCCTCCCCCGCCCGCTCCTCCTCCTCTGGGGCCACGGGACGGTGGCCAGCGGCGCTGGAGGGCACCTCGGCGGCCTCGCCCTTCACAGGAGGGTCCCTCAGGCGTGGCGGGCGCCATCGTTCCCTGCTCACGGGCCACGTTACCAAGGCTTGCGCGAGGTCGCTGACCAAGGCCATGCGCCGTGGCGGGCGCAGCGGAGGCAACGCGGGGCCCCGGGTCCTGCGCAGCCTTGTCGGCCCCCGCTGGCCACGCCCGGGGGGGGCAGAGGGGCCGGACGGCGCTTCACGGGCATCCCTCCCCAGGCCAGGGCGGGGGCGGGGGCGGGGACGCTGGCGGTCAGGGGTGGCCCCCGGGGTGGACCGCTGAGCTCCCGAACCTCACCCCCGAGGGCCCCTGCTTTCCCCTCAGTGCCTCTCTTCTCCTTCCTGTCTGAGTCTCTGTGGGCCCTGTCTCCGCCCTAAGCTCCTGGCTTCGGGTGTTCCCTCTGCGTCTCCCGCTCCGCCTCCTGCCCCTCCGCCCTCACCCCCATCCCGTTTGCCCCCCTCCCCCACTGGGACCCTAGGCTTCGACCTGATGGCGGCCTTCGGGCTGGTGGAAAAGGAGTACGCGTCCCTCCGCGGCGTCGCCATGGAGCCCTCGGCGCTGGGGCCCGCCAGGACCTTCACGCTTCTCAGGGACGCTCAGCTGACCCGCCGGGCCAGGTGGGCGGCCGGGGGTGGGGGCGGTGGCCGGGGCGGGGACACTGGCTGTGATGGGGTGGCCTCCGGTCCTGGGCAGAGGCCTGCGCCCGGCCCTCCGGGCACCTCTGGCTGCCCCTGCAACAGCCGCGGGAGGGAGCCCTGTCCGCGGGACCCCGGTTACTCTGGGGAAACCGAGGCGGGAGAGCTCTTGGTCCCATGGACCCCACCCCGCAGCCCCGTGGGTCTGGGCTCCCGGGACGGCTGTGGCCTCTCAGGCCTGCGGCGCCCCCACCCCCTGCCCCACAGCGACATCCAGCCGGCCCCCCTCCCGCCGGAGCACACGGTCGTCTTCCTCCTGCGCCTCCTCCCCGAGACGCCCCGCGAGGCCTTCGCGCTGTGGCAGATGATGACCGAGGACTTCCAGCCTGTCCTGGGGGTCCTGCTGGACGGTCAGCGGGGGAGGGCCTCGGCGGCTGTGGGTCCCGGGCGGCCCCGTCCGCCCTGGTCCGCGGGGCCTCACGCGCTCCCCGCTCCGCTCCCACAGCCGGCAGAAAGACCCTGACCTACTTCAGCCACGACGCCAGGGCGGCCTTGCAAGAGGTGACCTTTGACCTGCCTGAAGTGAGGAGGATCTTCTTTGGGAGTTTCCACAAGGTCCTGGAAGGTTCCAGAAGGACCAAAGCCTGCAACACTCCTGCCTGAATCTCCCCTGGCCCCAAGTTCTGCAACAGAACTGCTCCTACAAGCCCAGGAGGGGCCCACGGGGGCGCACTTGGGCCGTTTCACAGAGGGGAGACCGAGGCCAGCGAGGGGTGGCGCCCCAGACACCCTGGCCCGGGCTGTGGGAACCTCTCTCGTGCCTCCAGGTGCACGTGGCCGTGGGCCGCTCCCGGGTGCGGCTCTACGTGGACTGCAGGAAGGTGGCTGAGAGGCCCATCGGGGAGGCGGGCAGCACCCCCGCCTCCGGCTTCGTCACGCTGGGGAGGCTGGCCAAGGCCCGGGGCCCCCGCAGCAGCTCGGCCGCGGTGAGCCTCGCCTCGCCTCGCCTGCCCGGCCGGTGGGGGCTGGCGGCCGCCAAAGCCCCTCTCGCGGGAGCCACGCCGGCTGACCGCCTCCCGCCCCGGTTCGCAGCTCCAGCTCCAGACGCTGCGGATCGTGTGCAGCGACACCTGGGCGGAGGGGGACCGGTGCTGCGAGCTCCCTGCGTCGGTAGGTGGCCGTGGGCCACGGGCCACGGGCCAGCGGCAGACGGGCGTCCGGGGCATCACGGTGCCGGGAGCAGCCGGGGCTGGCTTCCTGAAGGGGGGTGGCCTGGGGGTGTCTTGGAGGCCCCAGGGGCACGGCCAGTCAGTGCGGATAGGGAGGCCCAGCCTCAGGGCGGTCACAGCCAGGCATGAGGGGCCCTGCCCTGCCCCCGCCGCCCCCTCAGGTGCGGTTTGGAAGTTCCCTGCGATCTGAGGTCAGACAAGAGCCCTGGGGCTCCATTCTCCGACGCAATCCTTTCTCCCAGAAGGATGGAGAGACCTGCCCTGCCCCACCTCCTGCCTGCGCCTGTTCCTCGGAAGCGCCCGGGCCCCCAGGACCGCAGGGCCCTCCGGTGAGCCCAGCAGCCCCTCCCTCCCTGGCGACATCTCGCTGCCCCAGGCGGGGGAGGGGTGGGGTGGCGCTGGACACTGGAGCCCAGGGCCTGGCTCCCCAGGGCCGTGCTGGGCTCAGCCCCGCGGTGTCCCCGCAGGGCCTCCCGGGCAGGAGAGGAGCCCCAGGACAGCAGGGTCTCCCTGGGCCCCGGGTAAGTCGTGGGGGGTCCCGGGGGACTGGGTCCTCCCTTCCCGGGGGGTCCCTGCGCAACCACAAGAGTGCCCAACCCCAGGTGGAGGGGCTCTCCCCGGGGGGGACCAGCTCCCCGCCATGCGCCCCTGACGGTCACCGATGGGTCCTGGCCCCGTGAGGGGGCCGACGCGCCCCCGCCAGGCGCCCACAGCTGCGGCCACGCCCCGGAAACCTGCCGGGCTTCTGCTGGATGTGTGCCCGTGGGTCCCTGTCCCCGCACCGCCTCTCGTTCCCTCTGAGGCTCCGTGTTTCACGGGGATGAGCCGCTTGCCTGTGGTCTCACTGTGGCTTGTCTGGATTTTCACACTCAGGTTCCTGAGAGAGTTTGGCCTCTTTTCTCTGGGGGTTGGGTGTGGATGTGCGTGTTCGCACAAAGGAATTAGGAGCGTTTTCCCTGCGCCCCTGGTCCAGCCAGCGCAGCCGCCAGCTGTGTGGCCTGGGGTCTGGTGCCCAGGGGTTCCCTCGCTCCCCAGCTCCGACCCGAGCAGCGGCCTCGGGCCCAGGTCCTGGCAGGGGCGTGGTGGGTCGCGGGGTGGGTGTGAGCCGCTCCGAGGACCGGGGCCTGGACGCTGCAGGCCGGTCAGCGGGCTGGGGCTGCGGGGACCCGACCGAGGCGGCCTTGGGCCTGCTCAGCCCTCTCTGCCTGTGTCTCCAGGGGGAGCCCGGGCCTCCCGGACAGACTGGACCCGAGGGTCCTGGAGGTCAGCAGGGGTCGCCAGGGACCCAGGGCCGAACCGTCCAGGGCCCCGTGGTAGGTGCCGCCCCCCGCCCCCCGCCCCCCCGCCGCGCCCGCGCCTCTGCCTCTGCGGCTCAGTCCCTGTTTCCCTCCAGGGTCCGCCCGGGGTCAAAGGAGAGAAGGGGGACCACGGCTCCCCGGGCCTGCAGGTAGCGGGGTGGGGCCGGGGCAGCGCCTCCTCCCCGGGGTGGGGCTTGGCACCAGCCTGGCCGGAGTCTCTGTCCTCTTCCAGGGTCACCCCGGCCACCAGGGCGCCCCCGGGACGGCTGGCCTCCAGGGTCCAAAGGTGGGAGACGGAGGCTGGGGGTGGGGCCCCCCTGTCTGGCCCCCGTTCCTGCCGGTTCTGCCCCACCCGTGGCCTAGCTGGGGGAGGGGAATGTCTGCCGACCCGGGTTGGGGGCGGTCTCTGAGCTTGGCTGGGGCTCAGCGGCTCTCAGAGCAAAGCTCGGGTGTGTGCCCCGTGTGGGCCCCCGCGGGAGGGGTGTGTAGGGGTCCAAGCCCCCACCCTTCCTTTGCCCTCAGGGAATGAGAGGCCTGGAGGGCACTGCTGGCCTGCCCGGACCCCCCGGACCCAGGGTAGGCACCACCTCCTGAGGCGCCCCCCCCACCCCACCTCCCGAGGTTCCTAGGGGCTGAACCGAGCCAGGTCGCCACCCTCCTGGGCTGGCGCCTTCCCAGGCCCCAGGGCCCTGCAGCGGCCGCCCGGCCGACGGCTCTCTTGACCCGCACCGGGCCGCTGGGTGGGGAGCCCCCATCACGCCTGCGCCCCGGCTCCGCCGGCGGGAGGCGCCGCGGTTTCTGCCTGCTGGCCAGGTCACCGCCATCACTGAGAAGCGCCTTCCCTCCCGAAACCCGGCCGTGCTGAGGTCCGTGCTGGGGTCCGAGCCTGGGGACCGCCCTGAGCGGGGCCCCGGGGCCGGGTGCCCGGGAGGCCGAGCTGCCCCCGCCCCCCGACGTGGGCAGGAGGCGCGGCCTGCGGGAGGAACGGGCCGCGGAGGGTGGGGACGGACCCCGGGGCCTGGCCTCGGTGCAGAGCAGCGGGGACTCGAAGGGCCGGGCGGGGCTGTGGGGGGCAGGCTCGCTGGTGCTGCCGTCTGGACCCCAGCCTGTGTGTCCCCACAGGGGTTCCAGGGCATGGCAGGGGCCCAGGGAGCCAGTGGGGAGCGAGGACCCCCCGGGGCCGTGGGACCCACGGTGAGTCCTCTCCCCGCCCGAGAGCCCCGCCGCCGGCGGCGGGAGGGACACGCGAGCACAGGCACCCTGGTCGGCGCCCAGGGAGGCCCGGGCCGCGCGTTCGCATAGAGGCCTGTGCCGGCGGGCTCGGCGGTGCGGTGCGGGGGCGGGGGGGGGGGCAGGGACGGGGAGGGGGGAGGCTTGTCTGCAGCAGCAGGGAGAGCGGGTGGCCCTGCCAGGATGGACAGGCGGGGGCGGGGGGCGGGCTGTGGGCTCCAGGGGCTGGGGGAGGGGCGGGGTCCAGCAGGCTCCCCGGAGCAGGAGCGGGGCAGATCGGGGGTCCAGGCCTGGCGGGCTCAGGTCGGGGGAAGACCTGCCCTCCTTAGGGTATCCCAGCGGCAGGGACTACCTCCACCCGAGACGTGGGTCCTTGGCCCACGGGGCCATGTGGCTCCGACTCTCCCTCCGAGGGTCCGAGGCTGCGCCCACCCTGTGGGGCCGGATGCCCGGTCTCCCTCCGATGGGCAGACCGCAGGCTGCGCGTGGTCAGGGCCGCCAGAGCGCGGAGGGTGAGGGAGCGGCCCGTCCGGGCCCCCCCGCCGCGGGCTCACCTCTCTCCTTCTCCTCCGGCCCAGGGGCTGCCGGGGCCCAAGGGGGAGCGAGGAGAGAAGGTGAGTGGGGCAGTGCGGGGGGCGGGGCCGCCCGGGGCAGGGGCGGGGCCACACGGTGGCCCCGCCCTGCAGGCTGCCCGGACAGGCGCGGCAGCGGCCCTCCTTCCCCGGCAGGGGGAGCCCCAGTCCTTGGCCACCATCTACCAGCTTGTGAGCCAGGCCTGCGAGTCCGCCATCCAGAGTGAGTGTCGGCCCCGAGCCGCAGGGCCCCGCACGCCGGCACTGTCCCCACACGGCCGGGCCGGGCTGGGCCTGGACCCGCGCCCCACGCCCCATCTTAGCAGACTCCCTGCCTTGCCCACCCGCCCTCCTCATCACGCACCGCGGAGTCCTGGGGAGGCGGGGGTCCGCCCAGCGCCCGCCCCGCTGACTCGCTGCACCCCCACCCCAGCGCACCTGCTGAAGTTCGGCTCCTTCCTCCACGGGAGCAGCGGGCCCCCCGTGCCCGTCCTGGGGGCCCCCGGACCCCCCATCACACACAGTGCAGCCCGGCCCCCTGGAGAGGGGGGACGTGGGGGTTCCCGCCTTGAGGACAGAGGTACTGGCCCCTTGGAGGGTCGTGGGGGACCCGCGTCCACACTGTCCGGCAGCTGGTGTCTGTGGCCGGTGGGGGGCACGGACCCCTCAGAGGTCGGTCCTGCAGAACTGAGGGCTGCCGGGCTCCCCTGGCCTTGAAGTGGCCGCTCCCCAGCCTCCCAGGAAGCCTGAGCTCCGCCCCTCCTCCCACCTCCTTGCCTCGGGCACATGGGAGACTCGGTCCAGTGACCTTGTCCTGTGTCCCAGGCTGATGAAGGGAGACTGAGAAAGGAGCCCAGGGCGAGGGGGGACGTGTTACCCCGCGGGTGGGGGAGGGCAGGGCAGGGCAGGGAGGGGCCTGCCTGGGGTCCCTGGCCCACCGCAGCCCAGAGCCCAAACCCCACCTCACACCGCCCCGACCCCGTCCCACCTCCCCCTAAACCTCAGCCACAGAGCCCCGGTCAGTGCCCGCTGGGGGCTCAGGGAGCCCCTCCCGCGCTCTCCCCCTCGGCCTGAGGAGCAGGGGCTGCTGCCCTGGGTCCCAGCACGGCCCTCCCCTCAGGTGAGCCCGGAGCCCTGGCTCAGACGGGCAGTGCGCAGCCGCAGGGGAGCGGGAGCCCGGGGCCGCCGCGGGGAGCAGGTGAGCCGGGCCTGGGGGCAAAGGGCAGCTGGGGAGGTTGAGGGGGCCCCGAGGGAGCCCAGGGAGGCCCTGGCCAGGGTCAGCGCGCAGGGGGCTGGGGCAGGAGGAGCCGGGGCTGGGCAGACACGGTGGGGGGACGGCGGGGCTCCACTCAGCTGGCGCCCCGCTGCATGCGCCGGGCGGTGGGGGCTGGGCGGGCAGACCGGTGTCCGCTGCCCGCCATGCCCCAGACCGCCGCCTTCTCTCCGGCCAGGGCGGTTCCCGTGCCGCCTCGAGTGACCGGCGCCCCCGCCTGGAGTCCCGGACACCGTGGTGGTCGGTGCGGTAGCCGCCAGAGAGGCTGCACAGCATGGAGGCCGCAGGGTCGGGCAGAGAGGGCGTGGGCTGGGACCCCCTTGTGCTGTTCCCACAGCCACATAAACCCGAGCTCGGCAAGGGCCGCGGCTGCTCCTTCTGGGGGTGGGGGTGCGGGGGCGGGCGCGTGGTGTCCCCTGCCAGGCCGGCCAGATTCCCTGCGCCTCGGAGAGGAGCCACCCAAGGGCCCCCTCCAATCCCACAGCCTCCCTGCTGCCTTGGGGCTCACCCCTCCGTCAAGGCCACCGCAGCCCCCACAGCTCAGTCCCCCTGCCGGCCCTCAGCCGAAGCCACGCACTGAGTCACCTGGGGGGGCTTTGAGAACAGTGCCCAGCCCATCCCCGAGGCTGGAGCCTGGGCAGCCTCAGCGTCCCCCCCGGCCACCCCGGGAAACCTCGCCGGCTGTGGGGCCTTCCAGCCAGTCCAGAAGTCTCCTGAACACCAGGAAAAATGGGGGGGTGGGGGGCGGGGGCGGGAAGCCAACAAGGGCTCCACGGAGACCGGGGAGCGGGGCAGAAACGGGGGGCGGGTGGGCGGAGGCGCCGGGGACACAGCCCCGGGAGGCCTGAGGCTGGGCCCAGCTGGGCAGGCCCCAAGCGCAGGAAGGCCGAGCGCACGGTGGGGAATGGGGGTCAGCGCTGGGCTTCGGACGGCGCTGTGGGCAGGTCTGGGTTCTGTCTTAGGAGCGACCGGAAGCCCCAGGGCTTCTGGGCGGGGAACTGACGTGACCCCCTGAGATGAGACTGGGGGGGGCCAGGCAGGTGGGACCTCGCCTGTGGGCCCCTGAGAGGGAGGTGGCTGAGCCCCTGGGTGGGGTGGCAGGGCCCCAGGAACAGGCCCTGGCCTGGGGGGCAGGCGGCGAAGGGGCGCCGGTGGGCCCGTGAGTCTGGGGCCCCCGGGCGGACGCGCGGGCACCACCATCCCCGGGGTGAGTGGAAGCCACGGGCAGGCTCCCTGGGGGCGAAGGTGAGCGGACTGGTCCCAGCGCTGAGTCCAGCTCCTCGCAGCGGCGAGAGGGGAGAGCCGCGGCCCCGCGGGGGTGCGGGCGGAGGCCACCGCCCGGACGCTGCCTGAGAAGCACGGCCGGGAGGCGCAGAGCCCGCGGGGGCTCTGACCAAGGAGGCCAGCAAGTGCAGCCGTCGCTGCTGTGTCTTCACTGGAGGAGGCGGAGGCGCCGCGGGTCTCGGCGCACGCCCCGCGCAGCGGCGGCCTCGTCCGGGGCCTGAGCGGGGAAGGACGGGCCTGCTGCCGGCCCCTGGCCGCGGCACCGTGCTGCGGGCTGCCGGCGCACGTCCACGCACACACCTGTGCCCTGCCGCCGTGCACGCGCACGCACACGCACGCACACGCACGCACCCCGCACGCACACAGCACTCCTGTCAGGCCTGGAGGCAGCGGGGCGCCTGAGAGCAGAGCTGAGCGGGACAGAGAGGGGCACGCTCTGGGGCCCAGTAACCGGAGACCGCGGTGTCTCTGGGCGGGGTGGGGGCGGGGCGGGGTGAGCCACGTCGGGGCGCGAGGGGACGCCGCCTGGAAACACGGCACAGCAGACACACCAGGAGGGCCCCGGCGGTGCGGCCCCGTGGACGGAGCGCGGCCTGCGGACCAAAGGGTCGCGGGTTCGAGCCCCAGTCAGGGCGCACGCAGGCCGGGGTCTCTGGCCAGGTCCCCAGCAGGGGGTGCGCGAGAGGCAACCGCACGGGGTGTTTCTCTCCCTTCCCCTCTCTGAAAATAAATAATTTTCTTAATGCTCTAGAAAAAGCACGTATTTAAAAAACAAACCTATTACTTGATTTCCGGAGAGAAGGGGGTGCTCCTCGCCGTGGGGGGTGGGGGGCGGGCCAGGCGGGGCTGGGCCCCCAGCTCAGGAGCGACTCGTTAGGACAACCCCAGCCCTGGGGCCCCGGCTGTCCCTCCTCCCCCAGCCCTGGGTGACTGAGGACGGGGAACGCTGCCCTGGGGTGCGCATGTGGGACAAGGGGGTGGGGGGGGGGCGCAGGCTGTCCGTCCGCCCACGACGTCCACCACCCCGGTGGCTGCACCGTCTCCCCGGACCTGGAAGGCCCCCGAGATGGCAAAACAACTGAAACTGGTCAGTGCGCAGAACGAGGACATGCGCCCGGGAAGACCTTGCGGCGCATCCTCGGCCGCGGGGCACGAGGTCAGGCTGGGGGCGGAGGAGTGGCCGAGCTGCGGTGATCCCGGCGAGGAGCCGCTCACAGCTCGTCACGGACCCCACGCTCGCGGGCCGGACGGCGCAGCAGCGAGTCTCAGGCCCGCCGGTGTGGGGGCGGCGGAGGGGCCCCCGCCCCCGTGCGGGGGCCGTCAACAGAGGCTCCGAGGGAGCCGGAGCCGCGGCCGCGGGCACAGAGGCCTGCCTGGGAGCCTGGAGCCGACTGTGCCCAGCGGGTGGGTCGTTGGTGTCAAATTTAGTAAAACTCACTCCTGTGGGGGCTTAAGATCACGCGTGTTGTATGTAACATTCACATCCGAGAACCCCTCCCCCACCACACACACGGGAGAGGCACACAGCACCCGGGCTCCGTCCGCTGCGGTGGGAATACGGGCACTTTGGTGTTTCTGTGGGTTTCCTGACGTTTTTCCGTCCCAGCAGCTGCAGGCGAGGCCTCCCTGCCGGCCCAGGAAAGCGCATCTGCGGCCAGGCCCGGCGCCAGGGCTGCTCCTGGCAGGCGCCGGAGCATCTGGCGGCCGAATCCGCTTACGTAAGGAGGCCTGAGGGGCTTCCGCAGGAAATCTGTGGCCCTGCTCCCCTCCCGGGGCCTGTGGTCCCTGCCCCGCAGCCTTGCTTGTCCGGGCCGAGCTGCCCCGCGTCCTGGAATGAGGCCCCGAGGCCACAGGTGCAGAGCAGGGCTGGGCAGACGGGGTCCCTGCGGCCCGGGGCCAGGCAGGAGAGGGTGCCCGGGGCTTAGATCAGGTCCCGGGGTCTCTGCCTCCCGCTTGCGGCAGGGGGACCCCCGCGTCACGATGCCCGGGTGGGGGTGTGGCTCCTGTTTCCCGCACGGCCCCGCTGTCCGGCTGAGACCTGCAAGCCAACCCCGCGGCAGCCCGGCAACCTGGGTGCTGGGGGAGCTCAGCTGCAGCCCCCCCAAACTGTCCCCTCAGCTCCTCCAAGCACCTCGTGACCCCAGCCCGTGGCCGCCCTGACGCCGCGGTCTGCAGAGGGGGCTTGGACCGTGGGCAGCAGGGACAGGTCCCTCCTCCCGCCGCCCTCCCACCTCTGTCCTCCACCAGTGTCACTCCTGGGGGGACGCGCTGTCCTTGACGGAAGGTTCCAGAGAGCCAGGAAGGGGGGCAGCACGCGCCACCCCCACGCCAGCCCCGGGCGATGGCTTCCCGGGTCGCAGGGCCCACAGCGGGCGCCACCCAGCGCGGCCTCGGGGGCGACCGGGCTCCCAGGGCCGTCACTCGGGCCCCCGCTGCTGGGCCGACGGCCCCTGTGTCACGGGTGACGGTGGTCCTTGGGCAGAGCCGGCCCCCAGCGGGTGCGGCCAAGGGCGGGAGGCCTGGGGCGGGGCCCCTCCATCCCCTTAGGAGGCGCCCCTTTCCCGGTGCCACACGTGAGGGTCCCGATCGGCCCTCGGTGAGCCGTCCTCAGGGTCCCCGGCCTCATTGCGGCTACCGGCACTCCAGGGGAGCCCCAGCTCCTGGGTGTGCCCGGGGGGTCCCTGGGGGGAGGCGGTGCACAGAGGGGGAGCCCACAGGGAGGAGTCGGGGGGAAAACCAGGACAGGGACCCGGAGCCTGGGCTCTGGGCTCTGCTGTGGGTCCCTCACACAATCCCAGTGCCCACAGGGACCTGCAGTCGAAGGGCTTGCCCAAGACCCCCCAGGACCCCCGAAAGGAAAACACCCGGACTCCCCGAGCCTGAGGGCCCTCCCCCGTGGGAGACTGGACCCCCACCTCCTCCAAGCAGGACCAGGTCTAACAGCTCCGCTCCCCAAGGCCCCTTTGGAACAAAACTTGGGCTTTCACTAATTTACCAAAACAAAGCCTCTGGGTAGGCCCCCGCTGGCCAACGGGGGCTGCGCACGAGCCAACCTGCCCCTGTGGGCCGGGTGGCCCCCCGACATGGGAGATCCCCGGGGAGAAGGGGTGCTTAGCGCAAGGCCCCAGGCTGCTGCGACCTTGCGGAGACAGAGGTCAGACGCATGTACAGGGAGCCGACGTCGAGCTCTGGGTAAACTTTAATGAGACTCAGGCAGCGACGCCACCCCCGCCCGGGCAGGTCCCAGCGCCTGAGCGCGGGCTCCCCGGGGGGCGGCAGACAGAAGGTGGGGGGACAGTCGGGCGGGCCCGAGGCTGTGCCATGCAGGGCCCCCCGGGAGGCAGGGCAGGCCACAGTGGGGCCCCTAGATCATGCCAGCCAGCCAGGGTGGCAGGAAGAGGCCCAGGGTTCCCAGCAGGCAGACGAGGACGAACACCCAGAGGAAGATGCGGTCGATCACCATGGCCACGTACTTCCAGTCCTCCTTCACCTGGGACACAGGCCGCGTCACGGTGGCATCTGCTCCCGGGTGCCACCGCTGCGGGGGCGCCGCGCACACCGTCGAGGGACCCCCACTTCCCAGACGGAGCAGGCGGGCCCACGCCCCCAGCCGCGCAGGGGAAGGGCCCAGAGCACCCTGCATAACAGGCCTGACTCCTAACAGGAGCCCCCAGGAGCCCCCGGGGGACGGCGTCAGAGGCTGGCAGCCGAGGGCCCAAAACCTTCCCCGCCAGGTGCCCGGGGTCCCGAGGCCCCTCCGGGATCCGTGGGGTGGCTCAGCTCTGTCCCTTGAGCCCCTCGAAGGTGCAGGGCACACGTAAGGGGCAGGCTCAGCCCTGGGAGCTGTGAGTGGGAAGGAAGCAGCCCCAGCAGCCGGCCGGGCACGCGTGGGAGGGCCAGGCCCCGCCGGGCCGGGCTCGGCCGTCCTGGTTTGGGAGCGCCGGGGGGGAAGCGGATTCTCCGTTGCCGTTTTCTACTGGGGTTTTAAAGTAATCGGGCGTCCGGATGGGTTTGAACCAAACCTAAACAGCCTGCTTATTCACAGGGAGCCTGAGCACAAACAGGGCAACTTAAAAATAAAACGTGCGCCTGAGGCCCCGCTGCGGCCAGAGGCCGCGCTGTTCCCGCCGCCTTTCATCCCCCTGCGTGTGGTGCCGCGGCCCCCGCCGCCCCGAGGATGAAACGCCAGCGCGGACCAACGCCGCCTGGTTATCGGGCCATTTGTGAAGTCAGCTCGTTCCTCAGAGCAGGCGACGCTCAGGAACCAGAACCAGGCCGCGCGCCAGGCCGATGAAGGGCGGGCCGGCCGGCCGGCGGCCAGAGCTACCAGCACAGAGGGGGCGGGCGGCGCCTCCCGCCGCCGCAGGCTCTCGAAGCCCAAGGGGTGTCCCCACGATCGGCCCCCATCGCCACTGTGGGCCACCCGCCCCGGCTGCCCCCCGGGGACCCGGCCTGTCGGGGAGCTCAGGGAAGAGGGAGCAGGCCAGGGAGGGGGCGCTCCCAGACGCCCGCCTTCAGAGCACCTGCTCGTCCCTCGGGGGCCGGGGCGCCTGGGACGCGGCCCGGGGCAGGGACTCACCGAGAAGTCCGTGTCTTCCGCCTTCAGGTGGTTCGCAATGTACTGGACGCTCTCGACGGCCCGCGTCAGGGCAGGCGACAGAGCCGGGGGCCGCGGTGGTGCCCTGGTGCTGCGGGCTCTGAGCGCGGCCTTCGGGGACCCCGTGGGCGGCTCCTTGCACCTGCATCTGCAGGGAGAGGCCTGGTCTGGGTGCGGGAGCTCGGCCCAGGGGGCCTTCAGGGCGTGGGGGGTGCCGGTGGCGGGGCCGTTTGCCGGGGAGGCGGCCTCGTCCGAGGGAACGCAGTACTGGATGCTCCGAGACCGGCACCGGACGCCGCCCTCCGCGGCCTGGCTGGGGCTGGACATGTGCTGGACGCTCAGGGACCGAGCTTTGGCCAGTCCCAGGGCCCGCGTGCTGGCTGGCGGGCGGCAGGGGCCGGGCTGAGGGCAGGGGCCGGGCGAGGGGCAGGGACTGGCGTTCCCGGGCTGTGCCGGCGGCAGAGTGGACGCCTGGCCCGGGGGCGACGTGCAGGCCGGCTGGGGCTCGCCCGGCTCGTCCAGGGGGCCGCAGATGGACGAGGCGGGCGAGGGGCCCCGGCCTGGGACCCCGCTCGTGGGGTCGGCCGCCCCCTCGGGCCCGGGCCAGCAGCGCGGGGCGCCGGGCATCCCGTGCACGGACGCGATGAGCCGCCGGCCGCTGTCCTTGAGCACGGCCGGCCGCCGCAGGAGCAGCAGGCGCGGCGCGAGGTCCAGGAAGACGCGGCGCACCCAGGCGGGCATGGAGTGCGTGCGCGGGGAGCGGTGGTGCACGCCGAGCACGAAGACCGTGACGGCGATGGAGAGCGTGACGAAGACCATGGTGAAGAGCAGGTACTCGCCGATGAGCGGCACCACCAGCGAGGTGGAGGGGATGATCTCGGTGATGAGCAGCAGGAAGACCGTCAGGGAGAGCAGCACGGAGATGCAGAGCGTGACCTTCTCGCCGCACTCGGAGGGCAGGTAGAAGACCAGCACCGTCAGGCAGGAGATGAGCAGGCAGGGCAGGATGAGGTTGACGGTGTAGAAGAGCGGCAGGCGCCGGATGACGAAGGCGTAGGTGATGTCGGGGTACACCTCCGCGCAGCACTCGTACTTCCGCGTGTTGTAGGTGCCCACGGCGTCCACGATGACCCACTCGCCGCTCTCCCAGAAGTCCAGCTGGTCCACGTGGCTGTGCAGGCTCACCAGGTCGATCTTGGCCTTGTCGTACGTCCAGGACCCGAACTTCATGGTGCAGTTCTGCTGGTCGAAGGGGAAGAAGGTGACGTCGATGCTGCAGGAGCTCTTGTAGATGGCGGGCGGCGTCCACCGCACCCGCCCGTCGTGGAAGAGGTGGGCCTTGGTCAGGTGGGTGATGGCGAAGTCCCCGTCCGCGCTGGGGAGGGAGAGAGGGGTGAGCGGGCAGCCGGCAGAAGCAGCTTCCTCGCGTGAGGCTGCGCCCCCGCAGAGGCCTGGGCCCTCTCCCGGGGCGGGGTCCTCTGCCTGGGCCAGGCAAGCGCCAGCCGCAGCCTCCGGGCCTGCCCCCCGCCCCCAGCAGGCCCGGGGTTCAGCCGTCTGGTTCCGGGCGCCTTCTGCGTGGGCCGGGGCTCCGGGGCGGGGCAGAGGGAGCAGGGAAGCCCGTCTGGCTGGTCCGGGCCCCGAGATGCCCCGTGACTGGTCACGGGACACCCTCGGCCCCAAAGGGACAACATAGAAAAGCCTCAAGCAGGCAGCATGGCCTCGCGTGCATGACCGTCAAACACAGGGAGCCCCAAAGCCATCGGAGAAGCTGGGCACAGGTCCCGCCCCCCCGCGCCGCCCAGCAGTGCAGGCCGACTGCTCGGCCACGGCCAAGTGCCTGCCCCCGGCCAGCAGCCCCCGCTGCCCCCGGAAACGGCTCAGGCCCAGCTGGAGCCTCCGTTGGCCGCCAGCTCAGCCCCTCCCGCCACCCGCACCCCCGGGCCCTGTCCCGAGAGAGCCTTGGCGCCGACCACAGCCCCACAGAGAGGCCGGCGTCCACCCCGCTACCTCCCAGGGGCACGGGCAGAGAGGAGAGCGTGGCGGATTTCGGGGGTAGCTCTCCCGGGCTGCAGGCTGGGGGCGGCACAGGCCCCAGAGCTCGGGGAGCTACGGTCCTCTCAGGGAATGTCTAGCTCCCCAGGAACAGGACTGATGTGTGTCCCGGGACCCAGGCCCCTGTCCAGGCTTCGGGAGCTGAGCTGGGGCCCCAGGAAGGCGGGGTGGCTGGGGGACTCGGGGCCTGTGGGCCAGACGGAGGCTCGCAGAGAGCAGAGAGAGAGCAGAGAGCCGGCCCCGCCCCGCCGCCCCGCTGCCCGAGCCGACCTCGCTGAAGGCAGCGCATCCCAACAGCCTCTCCGAGCTCCGCACGTGTGGCCGCTTTTCCCGGGGCCATTACCGGAGTCAATTAAGTCGGGAGAGCAGCCCAGTCGGTCTTAATCAAATAGCAGCGTTTTGTGGGTCAGACCCAGCGCCCGGGGTCCTGGGAGGGGCCGTGTGCAGGCGGCTGGGAGGCGGGGCCGCACACGCGTGGCCGGGCCACGTGGCGGGACCCAGGGCGCTAAGTGCTGGTCTCTAAGCACCGCGGCCCGGCCTGAGGCAGGGAGTCACAGGCGGGACATCCCACAATGACACTGCAGGGACGCGGGGACATGGGAGGGTGTCGGGCTGCCCGGGGCGCCGGGATCCCCCCGCGAGGGTGCCGGGGGGGCGCCCAGAGCCCAGGCGAAAAGGTGGGGGCGGGCGGGGGCCGTGAGCTGGAACGGGACAAGCCCTCTGGGGCTTCCGCATGTGGCCAGGGACAGACTCTGAAAATGCCTCCAGCCTAAAGGGGAGCAGCCCCGGGGGCGTCCGGCCCCTGTTCCCTGCCGCCCCTGGAGACAGGCCAAGGCTGAGCCTCGAGGTGGCGCCCCGAGGTCCCCGGGGCTGGCCTGGCGGCCATGGAGCCCCAAGTGCCCCCACGGCGCCCAGGCCCCTCGGTCGCCTGCTGCTCTGGGTGAGGCCACGCCGGTCGGTGCCCCGGCCCCGCCCCCGCCCCCGCCCCGCCCCCGCCCGCTAAGAGCCCCCGCCCCCGCCCCCGCCCCGCCCCCGCGGGCTCACTTGTTGTAGAGGACGATGTCTGGCCGCCAGATGAGTTCCGAGGGGATTCGGATGGAGGTCACGTTCTCGTAGTCGCGGGGGTCCCAGCGCAGCTTGTAGTCATTCCACTCCTGGGCGGGGCGGGCACAGAGAGCAGCCGCTGAGCAGCGGGGGCGGGGCTCGGGCCGGGCGGCAGGCGCGGGGCGGGGGCTCCCCTCCCCTCACCTGCTTCACCCACACGTTCGTCGTCATCATCTGATTCTTCTCGTCCTGCGACACAGACAAAGGCAGGGTGGCGACCCCCCCGGACGGGCCTGCGGCCTCGGCCCCGCGTGTCCTGACCCGCGAGACAGACTCCCCGCCAGCGGGCGGGCGGGGGGGGCGCGGGCAGTGAGCCCCTCGTCTCTGGAGGCCGCCGAGCCCAGGGCAGACTTAGGACGAGGCCGCCGTGAACTTTCCAGAATGAAAACGGGGTCAAGGTCTGGCCACCCACGCGGGCGGCCACGGCCCGGGGCTCCCCAGCTGCGGACGGGCGTTGGGGGGAAGGGGGCAGCCCCCTGCCCCTGCTGCGGCCGCCAAGCCCCCTGGGCTGCACGGGCCGCTTGCCCCCAGACTCCGGCCGGGGTGCAGCCTCGGGGCTTCCCCTCTTGCTCCAGTTCGGGGAGAAGAGGCCACGTCCCCTGACCCTCAGGCGTTGCCCGTGGTCCTGCTCTCCTGCGGGTCCGTCTGGGACAGGCCACTCAGCTGACCCGGGGGGCCCCCCAGGAAAGGGTGCTGAGGAGTGTTGTGACCTAATCAGAACCAGGAACGTGCGGCCGCCCCTCCCGCCGTTCCCGCCAAGTGGACAGGCTGCCCCTGCTGTGCCCGGCCCCCGCCCTGCGGCTCAGGGAGCTCCAAGGGGCCGCGCTGGCCGGGCCTCTGCCCCTGGGCGCCCAGCCCCGTTCCTGCGAGGACAGTGCCCAGGGCCCGGGAGGCGCCGGGCTGCCTGGGGCTCCCGGCCGGTGGACTCACACACAAGCAGACGCTCGGCCTGCACAGCCTGCGGCGGGTGGACAGGCCCTGCCGGGGAAGACGGGCGGAGCGGCCAGGAGGCAGGGCCGGGCGGAGCGGCCAGGAGGCAGGGCCGGGCGGGCGGCCCTGCCGCCCACAGCCTGACCCGGGCCCCTGCCCACCCCCCGGGGCAGTTCGGCTCCTGAGGCTGAGAGTCCTGACCACAGCTGGACACCGGGACCTGGCACTTGGGTTTCTCCGTGCGGGGGAGTGAGGCGCGCGGCCTGGGGCAGGCGCACGGCGGGTCTGGGCGGTCCGGTCGGCAGCCTGGCCGCCTGCGTGGGCTCCGCCGCCCCGGGGCCACCGCCCGTTCTCCGGGCGACAGGCAAGGTGCGCCCACCCCGCCGCCGCCGCACCTACCACGTCAATGAGCTGCGCGATGGACAGGCCGAAGTGGACGAGGACCACGTCCGAGGTGTTGGCCACGGGCCGCGACCACTTGTTGTAGCCGGAGAAGAGTTTCTTCAGCAGCCGCTCCTCCGCGTGGACCCGCGTCTCCACGTGGCTGCTCGCTGGGGACGGGCGGGCGGCGGGCGGCTCAGGAGCCCCATTCCCGGGACGCACGCCGGGCCGCACTCGGCAGCCCTGCACCCTTCCACCGCCCCGGCCTCCGAGTGTCCTTCACGCGAGCCTCCCAGCCCAGGGCCTCTGCCCGGGCTGCCCTACGCCCCGCCCGCCCAGTTCTACCAGGTGTGACCCTCACAGCCTCAGGGAAGCCCTTCCAGCCCCCTCCCACCCTCCACACGCGGGCGTCCCACCACGGAAGGGGACAGGGTCCCCACAGCGCTGACCCGGAAGAGCCCGCCCCGGAGGCTGTGTCTCCAGCCACCAGCACCATCCCGGGAACCTCGCCACAGAGCACAAGGTGGGGTACCCGCAGGCCGGGGGGACAGGGGGGGCAGAGGGCAGCGGGGGGCAGGCCCAGGCAGCGGACAGAAGGGACGCAAGGGTCCAGCCACCCAGAGCCTGCTCCCAGCGCCTGCCCGCACCCCGAGTCTGGCCCAGACACCCGAGGGGCACTGTGGGTGCTGACCCAGCGCCCCGAGCTCCCGGCTGGGCTGCGGGCTGCGCCCCTGGGAGGCTGGAGGGAGCCCCCCCACGGAGAGGGCCTGCGAAGGGCCCCTCTCGTCGGGCCCAGTCTGCAGCCCCAGCACCGGCATCGCCAGGGGTGTGGGGAGGGGGCGGGGAGGCCCTGCAGAGGGTCCGGGCCCAGACCTGCTCTCCCAGCCCCCAGCCCCCAGCCCAGACCCTGTCCCCAGGTCCCATTAGCCAGGACGGCGGGCAGCAGCCACCAGCCAGTGGGAGGCCGGGGCTCCACCCCCCTCGGCTCCCCCAGAGGAGCTCCGTGGCTGCCCGGGGCGGGGAGGTGGGGCGGGGACTTCCCGGCCCCTGTGGGCTGCGCCGTGTACGGCGTCTGGTGGCAGGAGGCAGGGGCTGCACACAGATGGCCGATCGACCCCCGGACCCTGAAAACTGGGCAGACGCGGGCGCGGGGTCTGCGGTCGGCTTGGCCAGATGGCGGTGGCTGAGGTGGACGCCTCTCCCCACCCGCGGTGGAGCTTCGGTCCGGCTGCGGACACAGCAGCCCCCCCACGCCCCCCAAACCCCTCTCCGCACACCCGGGCGGATGAACTCCCCACTCCGGGCCCTGCTCAGGGCGTCGGCAGGGCAGCCTTTGCGTCTCGGTGGGGGAATCGCCCCCCGCGGCCCCACCGCGCACCCAGGGCCTGGGACCGCACCCAGGAACCTCCCCTCCTCGGACTCTGGCCGCCCCAAAACGGGCGAAAGGGGGCCGTCCAGCTCCCCGAAACTTACCGGGCAGGAGGCCGCCCCCCAGGAGCAGCAGCAGCGGCAGCAGCGGCGGCGGCGGGGACCCCGGGCCCCCCAGCTCCATGGCGCACCGAGCGGGCTCTAGACGTCAGCGGCTCCCGGCTCCGCCGCGCCCCCACGCCGAGGCCCGCGAGCGCCCAACTTCATGCCCCCTGGGCTGCGCCGGCCGCTCCGTCCACCGGGTCTGGCTCGGCGGCTGCTCCCGCAGGGCTGAGAGCCGGGCTGTGGGCTCAGCAGCGGCCCCGCCCGGACCTGCCCGCCTCCCGCCGGAGGGAGGAGGGCGAGCGGGAGGGGCCGGGAGGGAGGGGAGGAGGCTGCGCTCGGCCGCGTGGTGGGGTGAAGTTTCCCTCGTCCCCTGGGACTGGGGACGTGTCAGAGCCGGGGGGGGGGGGGGGGGGGGGGGGTGCGGCCACTGCTGGGACGGCGGAGGTGGGGGACTCTGGGAGTCGGGACAAGGGCCCTGCGCAGGTCCAGTTAACTCCACCGCCTCCGCCTGGCTCTGCCGCTTGGAAATTGCAGGTCGCCCCTCACCCGTCTGGCGAGCCTTCAGGACACAGCCCGCCCCTCCTGCCCGTCTCCGGCGGACCGGATGGGGAGCGGGAGCGTCCTGGGGAGCCCGGCCCGCGGCCGCCCTTCTGGGGAGAGGGAGGGAGCCCAGCGCCCCTGCCCCCCACCAAGCCGAGTCTTGCAGGCTCCCGGCCCCACCTCCGCGCAGCCCGCGAGCCCGAGGGCTGGGGGTCTGAGCCCTCTGGGCTGCGGCCGTGGGGGATTCGGGCCCAGGCGCCGGGGAGCAGACGCCTGCTGCCGGCTGGTTTCCTGCAGGACGGGCCGGAACCCAGAGGCGGGCGTGGGCGCACTGGGAGCCAGGCCGGTCACGGCGGCCGCCGCCCGCCAGCAGCAGGTGCCTCGAGCAGGAGGGGCCGAGGGGCCCCTTTGTGTGAGGAGCCACGGTCCGGGGTGAAGGGCCTGCGGGGAGAGGAGAGGGTGCTCTCCGCAGCGAGGCAGGGCCACGGCCAGCCCTGAGCCCGCGTCTCCCCCCACCGCCGCCCCGTCCCCTCTGCCGGGACCGAGCCCCAGACGGAGCCTTGGGGTCCTGGACAGGGCAGCGAAGCAGGCGCTGGAGGCACCTCCGCCCCGAAGGGGCAGGGCATCTCTCAGGGCTCCTGCAGGGCCCCCCACCCCCCCAGGCCAGGTGTTCTGTGGGTGACAGGCCCCTCCTGCCTCCCCACTCGGGCCGGGGGAGCAAGCCGGGACCGCTGTGGACTCTCTGGGCTCCGACGACGCCCCTAGGAGGGGGTCTTTGCTCCCCTGCATTCAGGCGAGGAGACGGACACACAGGAGGTACAGCCGCCTGCTGGAGGTCACCCAGCCAGCAGCGGGCTCTCACCCGGGCCCCCTGCCTGCGGCCGGGGCCCTGGCTCCCTCCCAGCCTCGGCCACCGCGTGTCCCAGGGCCGGCCCGGGCCCTGGCGGGACGTGTCCTGGTGGCACCCCGCGGTCCCCCCTCGGGGGACCCTCCGGGCCCCCCAGGCCCACGAGCCGCCTCCCTTGGACCGTCCCCCAGCCCCGGAGCCTGGTCCGGTTCCTGTGCTGTTTCGGCAGGTAGGCTGAGGTCCCTCCGGGCAGGACGCCCTCACCCCCTCCTCATCCTCAGCCACTCAAGCCCCCAGGCAGGGCCAGGCGCTGGGTTCCTCTGGCATCTGGACGCCCCGTCATGGGCCAGCTCCGAGCTACGAACCAGGATGCGCTCCGGGCTGCCTGAGAGTTGGACGGAAGCAGGGGCTGCTGCGCCGGCCCTAACTGGGTGCCCGGAGGGGAGGAGCATCCCGGACCACCGGTCCGAGGCAGGCAAAGGCCACCTGCTCCCTGGGGCAGGGCCACCCAGGGCTAGAACAGGCCAGAGCCCCCTCCCTGGCGGGCAGGGGTGACGGTGGCCGGTGGCTCCTGCGTGATGGGAGGTACAGCCCTGGGCCTCTCCGTCCCGTCCCGACCAGAAGCCCCGCTCGGCACTGTCCGGAACGCGCGGTGCCGGGTGTGCCGGTTCGCAGAGCTGAGCCCACGCTCTGTCGCCCGTGGCCGAGGCCGACCGCCCCCAGCCCGGTCTCTCCCACCGGGGGCAGGGTGCCTGGGATGCGTCCACTCGGCCGCTCCCCGGGCGGGTGGGGCTCCCTGGGGGTTCTCAGTGGCCCTCAGAGTCTGTTCAGCCTCGGCTACGGCCGCCGAGCCTGCTCCTTACGGCGGCCCCTCCGGGCGGCCCACGCAGGCAGCCTCAGACCCCGAGCTGGTTCGGCCCAGCGGCTCGCACGGGGTCAGGCCACGACCCCCACCCGGCCTGGGCGGTTCTGGGGCCGCCAGCCCCCCAGGGAGGAGCCCCCCCAGGCGCCAGCCCCACCCTCTGCTCCCCTCACTCCTCCCAGGCTGTCGAGGCCGTGGCTCTCGGCTGGGCGCGCGGGCGACTTCAGGAGCACCCCCCGCGAGGCCCGCAGGCTGTCTGCCGGCGGCCGACGGGCTCGCGGCTCACGCACCTCTGCCCGGCCCCGTGTGGCTCTCTCCCCGCGGGTCTCTTGTCTAACGCGCTGATTTGCCGGCCCTCCCTCCCCACCTGCGCCCGCCGGCATCGCCGGTTTCGGAAGCGGGGACTCATCGCAGCCTCTGAGTCAGATTCACAGTCCCGGCCTCTCGGCTGCCCCCGCAGCTGCTCCCGAAACTACTTCCCAGGGAAGGGAACCCCGATTCACAGGCAGGTGCGCGAGACCGGCTCTGGAGAGCGGACGCCCCCACCCCCCGGGTCTCGGCCTCCGTGGCAGGACGTGTCCCCTGAGGGCAACTGCGGGCGGTGAGGGGAGGGGCCGTGGGGCGGGAAGCTGTGGCGCGGGCGCCCCAAGGACCCCCGCCCCGCCACACACGTGCCCCCCGCCAGTGCATCCCTGGCCGCAGCTCCGGGACTGCAGCGGGACTGTCTTGGGAGGGACCCCCGCCTGCGGCTGCCCTCCCCACCCTCCGCCCTGTCCCAAGGACATCGCCATGGTAACCAGTTCAGGCGTGAGCAAGGGTTTGAATTAAAGGTGGGAGCTGTGGCTGGGAGCCCAGTCCGAGCAGCGGGAGGGCTGGGGGGGGCGGGGAGCCTGTGAGGGGGAAGGGCAGCCGGGGAGCAGGGAGGGGACCGGAGCGTCCGTCAGCACCAGGGCCCAGCGGGGCTTCTGTGCCGCCAGAGCCCGTCCTCCCACCTTCCGGCCAGGCCTCCCCCACAGGGGGGGGGGCGGGGGGGCCCACGCCTGCCCTCCCCAAACCTTCACCCCAGCGGTGACAACCGTCGTTGACGCTCCTGCTGTTCTTCCTGGGGTGGGTCGCAGCGGGCGGGCGGTGGGGGCCTGGGACGGCTCCCGAGCCACAGGCAGCGACACCGCGGGGGTGGGGGGCGGACGGCGACCACAGGGGTCCGGCAGGAGCAGGGGCGCTGGGGGCTGGAGACGGGCCAGCGCCTCCACCTGCCTCCTTGACGTCCCTGTGCCCTGCCAGGCCGGGGTCGGAGGGAACTCAGCGGCGCTCTCCTCGCCGGGCCCTGCGAAGCCACCCCGCCCTCCCTCCGTCTGGGTCGCCAGCACGGCCGCCCCTGAAGCCGTCCTTTCCCCTGCCCGCGGGGTCTGCCCGGCACGGGGGAGCCTCCCGCACTCGTGGGCCAGACCGGGGTGGGCCCCACCGCCGGCCCCCGGGGCTGCGGAGCGTTCCAGCGGCACAGGCCCGGGTCTGCGGCCGAGGACCCGCACGCTGGGCTCCATCCCGGGCAGCCTAACCCCAGCCCCGACCACGCCCGCCTGCCTCTTGAGCCAGCGAATCACAGCCAAGCGTCAGGAGAGGGACAGAGTCAGCTCTTCGTGAAGGGTTCTGTCCCCGGGACAGGGCCCCGGCACAGCTGGGCCCCCGCCGGTGCCCCCCGCCCGAGCCCTGCAGACGTCCCTGGTGCACCCCTTGGGGAGGGGCTGGGGGGCCGGGAGCCGCGGCGGTGGGCGTGGGGCGGGCCGGGACCGGGCGCCTCATGACCCTCCAGCACCGCCAGATCCCTCTGTGCGTCCTCTCTGTTCTCCTCCGCCTCCGGTCACCTCGCGTGTCTGTCTCGGCCCCCACGCCCGGCACCAGGTGGAGAGGAGGCTCCGCAGCCCCAGGTGGGGCTCCGCCCGAGGCCACCCGCTCTCCCTCTCACTGCTGCACCTTCTGCCCCAGGTGCAGGGATGCGGGGACGCAGCGACGTCCCGCTGGGCCCTCTGCTCTCGCCTGGGGACGGGACGCTGGACGCCTGGCCTCGGACAGGGGGCGGGGAGCCGGGACGGGGCGAGGTGCCGTGGGAGGAGGACACGGAGCTCCCCGGTGAGGTCCTTGCTGGGCAGCGCATGGATGGGGCCCGGCCGGCCACATCCCCGGCCGAGCCTGCGCGCATTTCGAACGGCCTTGCGTCCCTGCGCCCGCCCCCACCGTCGCGGGGGCGGGGAGCTGCCTCTTGGCTGCCCCTTTGAACTCTGGCCTGTCCTAGCCCTTGTCACGCACGGCAGCTGGATCGCCGCGCGCACCTGGGCAGCGTGATGCTTCTGTCACTTTCACCATGACCAAGCTGAGGTCACCTGGCCAAGCAGAGGCCCGGCGCCAACCTGGCCCCGCCATCCCTGTCCCTGCAGAGGACGCCCCGGCGCAACACCGTCTCCCCACCCACGTGCTCCTCCCAGTTGTGCCCACAGCCGTGCGGCTCCCTGGTGACAAGGGCTCCGCTGCACGCAGTTCATCCCCGACGCCTAGCCAGCGAGGCCGGTCCCCAGCTCCCTGGGCCGGCCAGCTGCGGGCTCATGCATATTCAGGCATCTTCTGATTGTTGCCAGTGAAGCTGCCACACTTCCGCTGCCGCCTCCCAACTGGCTCCCTTTTCCTTCCCCCGCCCTGCGGACGGGGCGACCGGGCCTGTGTGGTTCTCTGGGTGCCAGGGGCCCGCCTGTTCGCTCTCTCCTCACTAGAGCGCGTGCCGGTCCCTGGCCTGCTCTCAGGGAGGCCTGGACCCAGCCCCGGCGCTGGGTAAATA